CAACTTGTTTATTCATGTGCTGTGCAATGGTCTGAAAATCATCATGGAATTTGAAGAATTAAATTACTAAAGGTAAAGATAGAAGAATTGCAGGAGCATGATGATTAAAATTAGAGCAATTCATCACATACGTAAAAAATGAAGTGTAACAAAATTTTATTCTGGTATATAGCAGAGTTGATAAGCAGAAGGTCAGTCAGAGAATTGGACTGCAGCAAAGCAAGAGAGTGCACTTTGCATGGCTGTACTGTGTATAAGGCCTTCACATTGCAAAGAGATTTCACAGGACACATTCAAACATATTTTTGGTTTTGTTGTAGGAGGATAGACTTAGCCATTAGAATTCTTTTTAGCAGTTATCTGTGATTCTGTTTGATGAAGTTTTAATTGCAAAAGACTGTACTTATTTTTCCACTGGGATTCTTGCTGATTCATTCAGTAAGAGTTCACAGGCAGAAACTGCTCTAAGGATGAATTGGCTGTGTGCCTTATAGGAAGCGTATGACTTTTGAATATTGCATCATTGGCAGCAGAAGATGGGCAGTATGGAGTCCATGCAGCAGGAAGAATTGGGAAATAAATCAATAAAAGAGTCTTCTATTCCTACATGTGCGGAAATTCAACCAAATATTTAGACTGATGTCTTTCTCAAGTCTTGACCTCTGGTCTCAGCAAAGAGTTTCAGTTTTCAGGGACAGAAGTCAATAGAAAGTCAGGAGCCCTGGTGGGATTTAGGAGTTTCATCATCTATTTGGATATGCTTCAACTGCCCCAGTACTGCTTCTATTAAAATTAATGATTAACATCTATTGATTCCAATGAGGTAAGAGCTACTTCAGTGTTCTTACATGATCGTGAGCAAGTCACAGAAAATGAACTTTTCTACTGGCCTGAGTAATTTTTGGTTAGTTCTCTTTTTTTGGCAGTTCTCTTCTGGAAACAGTTAGTGGAAATGCCACAGCAGCCTACCCTGACCCAGGCTGAGCACTGAGAAATCATGTGATGGTTTGACTTCAGTCTTTATCATCTGTCATACGGAATTTGCCAGTACCACTTCTCAGATGATTGAAAACTGCACTTAAGGACATTACAGAAGTGGATTATTTCTTATGATCTAAATTATAAGTGGGGCAAAAGGTATAGGAGTTGCACATTGAATGGTATCAAGGGAGATAAATACTGCCTATCCAGCAGTTCTATAATCAGCATCCATCCTCACAAACGTTTTATTAAACTTGCCCTCTCTTGGCAATTTCAATTAGGTTTTGGTGCTGTGGTCCCCACTATTGACTTTGAGCTGATGCAAAAGAGCACACTGTGTTTTTCATGTACTTTCCTGGGCAAATCTCCTTGTGTCTTCTTCTCAATGCGTCTATAAATCTTTCCCCTGTTTTTCCAGTTTTTGTGTTTGAGACATCATTACCATGAATTTAAGGTACCACAATTAATCCTCCTTCACCAGGAGACTGTGGGCTTATTTCATATCCATTTATCTCAGTCTTGAGCTGCAATTTTCCCATTGTTTTTCTTGCAGCTTACTCAGCGTGGGCAGGTAGTCCAAAAGAGAAGGGATGAAATTGTCTGCAGCTTTGGTGAATAAAGGTCCCAGTGATGAAAACTGACCATATATTATAGGTAGTATCCTCCATAGTATATAATTTATTACCATCAGCAGTTTAGATTTCAGGAGTAAATGAGTGTGGGCTGCTAGAATTTATGTTTCCTCATCCAGCGTTTCTTTTCCTGTAGTAATCCCAGAGCTGCCATTTGCAGGAAGCCATGGGAGTGTGGCACTTGGTGGGATGGTGTTCCCAGATTGCCAGCAGTGGTCAGTACCAGTAGCTCCTGTTTGCAGCAGGAAAGGCAGTCATGGGACCACCCACATCCCAAGGGAAACCCTGTTCAACTCCTGGTAGTAAAGGCTGGTTTTTGCTCAGACTCAAGGGCTTACACATCCTCTAAAGCTCTTGGAGATCTTTGTTGTTGCTTGCTTTGCTTTTACAGAGCTTGCTAATAAAACAAGTTATTCTTCTCACTCTAAACATGTTTTCAACCCACTGAGTCCATGGTGTATTATATCTCCCAGAAATACTATATCTGGTTTTGTACACAGTTTAGGGTTTTTAAGGTGTATTCATCCAGTTTTTTATACTCTTCTCTTCTCTTCTCTTCTCTTCTCTTCTCTTCTCTTCTCTTCTCTTCTCTTCTCTTCTCTTCTCTTCTCTCATTGATATTAATTTTTGTGCTCTGTGTGGGTTTTTTCTTCTCACTCTTAAAGGCTGTGTTGGGTGCTGTGATTATTGACAAGTTATACTGTTACCTGTTTTGGCTGAAAGTTATACTGGAATTCGGTCATTAAGGAAATATACTTACATGTCAGTGAGAAGACTTTTGAAAACACAGTGGGTGTGAATAGGTTTTTAACTGAGAACTTAGTCCTGAAGTAAAATAGACTTCTCAGTTTTTAATGGATTAAGACAATTTCCATTCTCTTCACTAAATAGAGTGAGAGCTCTATGACAGAGATAAAACTCAGGTTAGAAAAGGATGTGAAGCAACTTGAGTAAGGTATAGACTTCAAGGATGCATGCCACTCCTTCAGTTGTACTTTATAAATAATCTGTAATATTTTAAGGATTCACCTGAAAAATGGGAAAGTTTTGCTTTTCACATTATTCAAAGTATGAGTTTGAATAATGTTGACCATTGCAGTGCTGAAATGTAGTGGTGACACCATGAAATCTGAGCAAAGTGTTTGTAGCATACTTACAGTGTTAAATGAGCTTGCCAGAAAAACATATGGGGCTGTGCTGTGGTTGGGTGGGGGAGAGGTGGTGGAAAGGAAAGCAGTCAGGCCAAAGCCATTGCCTACTGCCAGATAAGCAGAAACACTCGTTGTGCTTTGCATAACTTCTGTAAACTGAGTCCTGAAAAGTGGGGGAAAGAATGGGACAGGACAGTGGGTAAGTGCTGTTCTCCACGTCGAGCCCTTGCTCATGCTCCCTTGGCAGTGCAGAGCTCTTATCCACCCTGGCAGCCCTGGGGGATGTCAGGAGTGTGTCTCACAGTGTGCACACCCCTGCCTCCTGGTCCCAGAGAACTGCACCGTTGTTTGTTGGAAGCTGCTGGAGGATCTCCCCATCCTCACCTGACACCTGGATGGGGATCAGACCCCTCTGAGTGCCCAGGAAGAGATGGTGCTCTCTCAGTTTTGCTCACACAAGGTAAACAGCCTGGCCCTGACTGCGGAGAAACTGAGGCTATGGCAGGTTATTAGAAAAAGCCACAAATATATAAGGATAAAATTAGAATCAGGGCTATAAATCAGTAAAATAGCAAAGATCAGTAGGTTACTCTTTAACTGAGGGATGTGCTGCCAGTGGGAAGAGCAGCAGATGCCATGAGAGAAAGGGGCATTCCTGCAGCAGAGGGGGTTTGCAATAGAACCTGTTCTGAGATATACTGGGAAACTGCTCCATTTAGCCAAAACAAAACTTTCAGGATCAGGGGAAGAGATTAAAATGTATCTGCAAGATGATTTCCACGCTGAAAAAATATATTTTCAGCTGCCACATGGTGGTATTCTCTTGGGTTCCTGGTTTTATGTTGATGTATTGCATTAGTAATTGTTTATTAATTATATGGAAATTACCGTGCACAAATTTAAATTGCCATTGTCAGAACTGAGGTTGACAGTATTTCTCAGTATGAAATAGATAACAAATATTATTTAATGAAGAAGCAAAGGCAATTCAAGAAATCAGTATTTAATTTGCTTTGTAAAACTGTACCCGTACTATCATAGAGACTTGGTGTGCTCTGTGCTTGCATGTTTTGAAATGCATATATTTCTAATGCTCTTTTTTAAAGGAATAAAATACCAGAATTAAACCATTTGCATAATATTTAGTATGTTTAAATTATTTGTTCTTTGTAGAGAGGCTATTACTGGTAGCTATTAAGCTGCTTCTATTATGTTCTGAATTTTTGAATCCATGCAGTGGATCATTAATCCAGTTGAACTTTTTGCAAAAGCTGAGAGACTTACTCTTTGTAACATTAATGATGTTGGGATGGATTTTGTAGCTCTGTAGTTTGCTTAATTTTTCTGAATTTCCTCCATTAACAAAAGAAGATTGTCAAGTGATGAAGAGAAGATCATGCAGGAGCAGCAAAAAAAAAAAATCTTTACGTTGCCCTGGGTTACATGGTTAGATATTTAGATAGTGTCTAATGCAGAGGCAGTAATGGGCCCAAATACTTTATTTGTATACTGACTGAATTTTGATCAAGACACAAGAATTTTCATTTACAGTTATTGTGTTGTTCTATTTTTGGTTTTGGTAACTTTGATTTACAATGAAAAATCAATCCTATCAACTCCAATGTTTAGGTAACAAGGGGGAATGGAAAATCTGCATGAAAGAATAACAGAGATACAGTTGCTGCTTCTGGTGCTGAGCTGGCTCACATCTTGACTGAGCCCTTTGGAGCCATTGGGTTTGGAAGATGTGCCTCAGTCAATAAATGCTGGTCCTGAGCTGAGCAGTGTGAAAACCTCCAGTCGGTGCATGAAGAATGTGGGTATCTGTCATCCAGGACATTCAGCATGGAAAGTGCAGAACCACCAGGAGTGTCCGTGACACAGAAAGATGCTGCTCATTTCATTTTGCGCACAAAATTGAAAGCCTTGGGCAGCTGCAGACATGGCACGAGTCCTCCATGGTTATCACTGCTTTATCACACTTGCTTTATCACAGGCTGCAAAGAGTGAAAGGATGGAAAGTGGTAGTAATTCCTCGTTTGAAAGCACATTACAGGACAGATGAGTTCTCTTTCCCTACTTCTTCAAGAGACAGCCTTTTTCAAAGCATTCCTGTTATTGTTGCACTCTGCATAGTCTGATATGTATCACCGTTTAGCAGCAAAAAAACACTGATATTTTGATGGAGCAAAACCATGTTGTGTTCATTTCTTTTTGTTCTTTCATTACATTACAGGTACGGTAAGAATTGAAATGTTCAGGAACATGCAAAATGCAGAAATCATAAGGAAAATGACAGAAGAATTTGATGAGGTAGAGTATACAAACAGTTGTTTGAAGCATTATGAAATATATTACTATATACTTCTGGTTTAAATTAAAAATGCAGTGGGCCAGTGGAAAAATAATGTCTCAATATGGGAAACCGCACTGACAAGCAAAGCAGCAACTTCAGCTGTCGGATGCAGAGTAACAGGGCAGAGAGAGGTTCATCAGAGTAGGCAGGAAGAGGAACTGGAGAGCTCTCATCCCACTGAGAGTGCTGCTGGCATTCTGGGTGCTGAACTTCAGCTCTTGGGAGTGCCATCATTCAGCAAAGAGCTCCAGATTCTTGACATATCAGATTCATTAGACAGGATTACAGCATTCTGCTCTATTTTCTCTGTGCAAATTAATGTTTTGTGCATTTTAAATGCCAGTTTAAACCAAATAGGAACTTGACATGAAAATTATCATTTTGGAACAGTGATACAGAAAGAAATACTCTCAGAAGATCTAAGCATTTTCTTTGAAACAAGTAAATTACAATTCAGACTGGGTATCTTCTGTCAAAATAAACGTGTTCCTAATGGTGGATGCTTTTTAGCTTTGAGATTTTTGAACTGTGTTTTCTTTGATTTTTGATGTATAAAAAGCTGAATATTCTGAGCACTCATTTTGTTTAGTGAGGAAAACTAAAGCTGGACCAGGAATTTCTGTAGGACAGCAGTGTCTCTGACCATTTCTAAATGAAATGCCAGTGCTGTTATTCAGAAAGTTAAGCAGGAAAACAATAAATACAAGAAACGCTCTCCTTCAGGATGTACTTATACACAATTTCCTTCTTTGCCGTGGCCTTGAACAACAAAATGTCTCAGTAAATGCCTGACTACAGCCATAGGGGTGCTTCTTTTGCTGCATGATTGTCCCATACTTGATGAAGAAAGTATTTTTCAAAAGAATCTTTTTTAAAACTGTCAAAGTTTTTTCTCACGGGAGGAAAAAAAACTTCCTATGAATCCAATTGAAAGCAACATCTCTCAAAGAGTTACAGTTTCTGGTACATCGTCTTTCTCCATTACTAAAACTTTTCAGAACTTCTATAATCCTAAAAAAAAGTTTCAGTTCTGGTTTTTGCCTTAACATTTGAATGGATTTGTGAGAGAATTTGTGGGGCTTAGTACAAAAGCATAAAACCATTAGTCCTAGGCTGCAACCCAATTAATATTTTGAAATCTGTTGGCATTTCACCTGTAATAGCTCCCCCAGTACCTCAGAAATCCCAAACTGTCCCATGGTTCCATGAGTCCTGCAGGAATCAGCTGGCTGCTGGCCTGAATTTTGCATTTATGACTGGGATTGAAGTATTGATTTTCCTCCACATGAGTAGAGAAATGCTTGTGCAGGATTTAAATGATGGAAATAACTTTGTTCACAAAGTTCACTTTGGGACAGGGAATTCCATGGACATCCATCGGCTGCACTGTTTGGCTGCTTGGCTTAGGAGTACAGGTGTTTTGTAGATGAATTCTTTCATAATTCTTGTGCTAGAGTTGGCAGGTGAACAAAGACTTGGTTTACTTTTAATTTTCTAAGCACTGGGCCATCAAGTATTGTGACAGTGTCACTAACACATCACGTTTTTATTAGTATTCAAGAATAAAAGATCCATGGTGACTTTATTGTCAGTTTGTTCTTCCCATTTCAGCCAGATGAGGTGTTCATGGGACAGTCTCCATAGACTTTTTAAAAGTGTTGTCTGGTATGTACTTGTAGGTTAAAAATTCACCATACAGAGATGAGTAGTTATACACAGCACTAGAGATTATGAGGATCTGTTCCAAAAGACTGCATTTACACACACCTTGAGAAAGCATATATTATGTACCAAAGTTCACATGTAAAGATCCATCAGGTTATTTTGGTGAGGTTGAAGTGGATGTGATTTGCTTCAATGTGATGGCTAAAGGGTTTTCTCTAGGGGGATGTTATTTATGAAGTTTGGGTTCAAGGTGTTTGATTGCAGCTTCTCTGTACTGATGTTGCTGCCTTTGCGTGTTTCAGTCTGGGTCATAAGTCCTGAGGAAGAAAGTTTGTTCCTCACAAAACCACTGAATAAATGTGTACAAATGGATATAACTGACTTCTTATCCTGGCTGAGAGATTCAGGATGGAGCATTACTACCTTGATGTTTTGGATACTCTGGAACTGGCTTACAAACCAGTCTTATAATTGTACACTTACAATCCTGGTCAGGGAGATTTATACTGAGGCTTTTTCACTGAGGGGGAAAAAGCATTTTCTGATTGTGGGGGGACAGTCTCCCTGTAATGCAGTATACATAGTGGATATAGTAAGAGCAGACCTGGAGAGGTATTAGATGAACATGCCTAGTCCAGTCTTGTAATAATTTTTTGAAGATGAAGTGTATGAATCTGTAGTAAAATTTCCATTACTGCCATCAGAAGGCACTAGAAAAAGGCTGCATTTACAAGATAAAATGGGGCAGTGTTTGCTTTCTGATAAGGAAACTAATTTTGAGTAAACCATACTCAACTGTAAGCTTCAGCAAAGCAAAGTTTAGGGGGAGGGGCAGCCAGCTAATTAGAATATTAATCTAGAGTTGAAATGGGGATGGAGAATGACACAAACTGTCAATCACACAAGACTTTCTTTAGGTTTTGACCTTAAATACTTTGAAATATTCCTGTCTCATCCTTTGCTCCCACTTCCTAACCGAGGATACAAGGAAAAGAACTGAATCTTGATACTTATTTTGGACTATACAGAGCCAGTACTTCAGGTGGAAAACAGTTACAATGATGTCTTTGCAAAAGTGATGTCATGCCAATGGGCCTCCCTGTTTATTGAAGAATAATGTGTTGTTTTTATTTGTTATTCTCCCTTGGTTTGAAGGAACCAAGATGATGTTTCATTTAGAACCCTAGACCACAATGGCTGCACTAACATTAAAATAAATTAAATGGGGCAACCTTTAATACTGGATCTTTTCCTTCTGTTGTTCTGCAGGACAGTGGTGATTATCCCCTGACCATGCCTGGGCCTCAGTGGAAGAAGTTCCGCTCCAACTTCTGCGAGTTCATTGGGGTGCTGATCCGGCAGTGCCAGTACAGCATCATCTACGACGAGTACATGATGGACACGGTGATCTCGCTGCTCACTGGCCTCTCCGACTCGCAGGTCCGGGCCTTCCGGCACACCAGCACACTGGCTGGTGAGTGAGCTGCCACAGGAGGGTTCTGTCACAGAACTTGCTGCTGCTTGTCCACTGCAAGAAGTCCTTGTAATTGGATTGAGGTGGACCCTGGCCAGCATTAAAACTGTGGAAAGCTTCATCAAATCCAAGTACCACATATGGTACAACTATGCTTAAAATACTCCTTTTTTATTTGGAAAGTAGTGTGCTGAGGCACTTAGGGATTCCTGTCATCCCCAGGTCCTGCAGTGAATCCTGAGAATCAAAAGTGGCATGCTTATGTCTTGTATTTTATTATTAACTGTTCACTTGTTGTACAAAATGTTGGAGTAATTTTATGTTTTAGAGTATAAATTTATTCTAAAGAAATATCAGGATAATTGTGTTATCAAAGAGCTTCCAGGAAAAATAATCTGTGCCTTAACTCTGGAGAAGCATAAGGTTTGGTATTACTGGGGCATGGTAGTAGGGTTCACTGTCTTTGCCTGCAGCCACACCACCTTTCAGTGCAGCTGTCTCACCTAAGGAAAGCCCTGTGTGTATCATTAGATAGAAGTGGGCTTTGCTTATATATTTCATCACACCTATATGAGATGTCTTCTCTAAGAGGGATGAATTGCTCTCTACAAAGAACTATTTTTCTCAGTTACAAAGCACTATTAGAGTGGCTGGCTTGGGTGTGGGTGTCTACAGCTAGTCATGTCAGGTGATAAGAAATTAATCTTATTGCAAGGTTCATAGATCGTGCCAGATATTTGAAACACTTACAGCAGACATTTGTCATGATCTGAATGTTTCTATGGCCAGTATTTATCACTATTTAGTCTTTCCACAATCAGCCTCATACACACATTTTCAGTTTCAAGTGTACCAATACCCAGTGTTAAACAAATACAATCAGAGTTTATTTAAAATTTCATTTCTTCTTATTAATCAAATTAAGAATCAGATTTCCAATGATATTGAAAAAACAAATCCAGATTTGAGTGAATTTTGATTTTAAAACTAAAACCCAAAGCCTTCAACTCACAGTGATTGAGCTCCTTTGGGAACACATTCCCTTGTGTTTTTCACCATACTTAGCAATGGGATGGTAAAACTGTGAATTATACAGGCTTAAGCTTCCAGGTTTGGAGTTTCCTCTTCAAATTCAGTATTCCAAGGTGAGTACTGTTTGAGCCTAGATAACCTGCTGGAAACCCATGCCTGTTATTTAAACTATATTCCCTGCCATGCTGTCTGCATTTCTGGGTGGTTTTGATTTGCAGTTTGCTCAGACTGTGGTTGATTGGTTCATAGGGAAGAATTTATGGAGTGAGGTCTTTACTCTGGTCCCTGGGATTGTTTGGTCCATCCCTGCATGGGCTGGTGCAGGGATGCCCCCATCATGGATGGGAGCTGCCAAAGATCTCGGCATTTACCAGTGACACTACATGCCATTTATTTATTTACTTGCTTGTTGTAACAAGCTTGAGGCTTTGCTTTGATTCGACAAATTTCCTTCAAACTGTTTTTAGCACATTTTATTGTTTTGGAGTCCCAAAGAGCAGAGGTCAGCATGATGCCATGGAGCTCAGTCTTCATAAAATTTTTTAAAATCTACTTGTAGCCTGGCATGTCTTCTTGAAGTAGTGTTTGTAGGTCCCTGTTTTCAGTTTTCCTCTATGCTAGTCAGTTGGAAGGAGAGATGATTCACTGTAGGAAGAAGTACCTGTAGGTTACAAGTTTTGAGCCATAGCAGTGTAAGTCAATCTAAGTAGCCTCACTTCTCCATTTGTGTGGCTGCTTTTTTACCTTGAAGCAATGCTGCATATTTAGAGCAGCATGCAGAGAGGATGTGGTAGTTTATTGCATTATTTTGCTGGTTTTTCAATACTGTAAAATGTGTTTTACTATGTAACCACACAGAACTTGGGAAAACCCCCCCAAAAAAAAGCAGACACAAACAATATCATATCCAGCATGTGTGAAAAAAAAATTGCATTTTTATATGGCTGTACAGCTGACCTTAGAGCAGTGTCAGACCTGCGTTCAGAGAAGCTGTGCTGAGGTCCCTTGTGAACTGAGCTATCCTCAGCAGCCACTGGTTAAGGTCACCCTTAGTATGGAGCCATCTCTGCTGGTACTCTTCTTCTGTGCAGTAATGGCTGTAACTCCCCAGCAGCTGCCTTCATGGTGCCCTGATGCTGCAGGCTCACATGCTGGCTCCCTGGTGCACTCAGAGCTTGTCTGGAGAAGACAGCAAGGAGCACTGCCTGCAGCTCAGTGTGGGGTAGACTCAGCTTTTAGACCATGGGCCAATGACCTGCGCATTGCCTGGGTAGAAGTACCTTTCCAGATGGCTGTGCCAGGGTTGAGGCTTTTTGCTGTGAGTATGGATCTGCTGAGGAAATATTTTCTGAGCTCTGACTACAGGTAAAGAGTCATAATCTGTCTTATGCCTTTGCAGCTATGAAGCTTATGACTGCTCTTGTGAATGTTGCCTTAAACCTGAGCATTCATCAGGACAATACACAGAGGCAGTATGAAGCTGAGAGAAACAAAATGATTGGCAAAAGAGCTAATGAAAGATTGGAGCTGCTGCTTCAGAAAAGAAAAGAGGCAAGTGAAAAGACAATTTTTTTTTTCCTGGTTCATGTCCAACATTCCCTCCAACAGAAAGCCCAGGGCGGTTTGTGAGTTGAGTACCAGAGTGAGAAAGAGCTTAGTTCTGCAGTGGTGATTTGTGTGGTCTCAGGCACACTACTTAACTCCTGTATTGCCACATTCAGTTGAGTTTGTGGAGCTGTTCTGCACACAAGGAGAATTCTGTTCTCAGGCTTCTATGTATGACCAGGCAGGAAGAGTCTCAAACTGTAAGCAGTCACTGTTCTGAAGATGCAGAAAGATTCTGGCAAGAGGATCCTCAGCTCCCTCCCTGCACTGCCCAGTTTTCCCCTTGATCACTGCAGTTATTCCACAATGTCTCATTAGTACTTCTTTTTTAGCTGCTTGCAGGAAACACAGGAGTTGAGGCTATAGCACCTGTTCTCAGGGAGAAGGAGCTAGGGAAACATTAAAGTCACCTTTAGTAAGTACCAGTCTTGCATTAGGTGAGAAAAAACATTAGAAGGCTTCTGTAATGATCTCTGAATAAAGTATTATATCACAGGAAATTTCAGTGTTAGAGATGTACTTAAATTTAAAGATGACAAGTAGAAAATTAATACACGTACACCCAAACAACCATAATGTGTAAAGATGCCAAGTAAAAGTCATAAGAGAAATTGAAAAATCAAAGTTTGTATGGCTTAGACTTAAATGTATGATTTTTAATATATTAGTTTTGAATTTTCTCCATCACTGTTTTACTCTGTGGCAATTAAGGATGTCTGGCTGCTTTGCCTGTGTGCACCCTGAATTCCTTAGGGTTTAACTTTGACTCAGAATTGCTTGACTTTGTAGTCTTTGGGGATAATCACAATACATCTTTTTATTTTACCCTTATGATCTGTACCACAACTTTATTTGGTTTTTATAGTTCTTGAAAAGCATGCATGAGGTACAACACAAGAACAATCTCTCCTACTCAAACTGCGAGAGAAACATTTTTAATTAAATATTAAATTGAATGTGTGTTCCAGGGCATTTTGAAAAGCAAAATAGGTGGAACAGAGTTTGTAGTCCACATTTGTTGATTGTTCCTCTGAATTTGCAGAGGACTAATTGCACTGATTACCTTGGGCTGGTGGCTTTGTGGCTAGGGACTCCTCTGTGCCCGTTCCCCCAGCCATTCTTTCGGAGCTGCAGGACATCCTCTCTCTGGGGTGCTGTAGCAAGGATGCTCAGGCTGCACGGGGCTTGGGAGCCTTGACAGCAGAAGGATCATTTCATAGTCCTTGCCTTTTGGCTCTGTGTGTTCAGGGGCTCTCATCTCACTGCTCATGACAGCTGAGCAAAGCATTGCCTGGGAATAGCCAGATTGAGTATGTCCATGGGGTCAGCACCCCAGGGGCACCTGGGCAGAAGAGATCTATTAGGATTAGATGGCTTTATGCTCTGTGTAAGAATTCCTGACATAATACTGTATATTCCCAGTGTTTAAATACTCTGAATTGACAGTGGCATTCTGTGCTGGCACTTCCTCAGTCGATTCTTTGATGAAGTGCCATCCTAACAACCCCTCCTGAGCACACACACATGCATGTGTGTCTTCATAAGCTGAAAGAGGAACAGTTCACAACTGAGTGTGGCGAGTTAGTCTGAAGCAGAGGAGATGGAGCACTTCCTGAAGTGTTCCATTCTCATGCCATCATCTACAAGCCTGGTGGGAGAGCCATGCATGGAGCTCTGTCTTATCAACAAGACTTTCAGCTCAAGTGGATGATTTATGTAGCAATATGCCGCAAAGCAGAGAAAGTTGTTTTTTTAGTATCTGCCAGTAATAATTCAAATTTTGTGCTTCCAAACCTGCTTGCAGAGTCAACAAGAGCATGTTTCCCTCATTTTTTTACTTCTGTTTAAGAGGGGGGGTGTTAAATAATTTTTGCATTGGTAAGAGCAGGAGTTCTAAGACACAGATGCTCTCTGAAGATGCTTGAAGTTAAGCACTCAGATTCAAGTGCATGGGTTAAAAATCTTGAAAGTGTAGAAAGCAGTTAGGGTTTCAGAGAAAATTCATTACTGAATCTAAAATACATTTGAGAATTGTATCCTTTAAAAGTTAGTACACAGAGGTAAAAAGGATCTCAGATGTACCTACTGAATCTTTGTTTCTGCTTCCACACCAGCTGTGCCCCAGCACTTGGATACCTCTACCAGATGATAATTCACTATGTTTATAGAGAACTGTAAATTCTGTGCAGAAGAAGAGGGAGGAAGCCTGTCCCTTCATGTCTGCTGCTTGGGCCTCTACCTTGCTACTTCACTTTATACTCAGAGAGATGTCAAAGTACACTTTTTTCAGAATCCCAACTTTCTCATGGCTCAGAAAGTCCATCAGACTCCTACATGTCTTCTCTGGTGTTGTTTTTTGCCAGGAAATCATTCCCTGAGTTTTGTGTGAGTTTCCACTTCCAGGGCCCTGGCAGATTTTCAGAAAACCTCCTGAGGCTTCTTGGTTTGTTCCCATCCTCATTTTACTGCACAACCCTGTGCTAGGCTGTCTCTACCCTCATGTTGCTGTAGATGTTTCCCTGTCTGTAGCCTGTGGAGTCATCCAGCTGAGGAGTGATCAGGAACTCACAGTCCCCTTTGGGTTATGAATTCTCAAACAAGCATTTAGTCTGTACATATTTGGGTTGAGCTGATGCTGCAAATAGTGCTTTTCCCAGAGGCCATGTCTAAATATACTTGGTTCATGTATGCAGAGCTGGTGTGGACCCAGCTCTTCCCTTTGTACATAATCCCTTTTACTGTGAAATTAGTTTCTTTGGCAGGCTTTTGACTATTTAGTCAAGAGCCCTCAATGCTTTGGTTTCTTCCACATGCAAAATGGAGACAGCACCCCCTTAAACTTTAGTGAACTGGGAGACTTTACTCCCTGAGTTCTGAAGCTACTTGACCTGAAAGATGCAATAGAAATATTGGCTGAAAAACAGAAGCCCTCAGGTGAAAGTGTTTCAGAGCTCATGCCATGCAGGAGGTCAAACCAGCTGATCACAATTTTGCCTCTGGCTTTAAAACCTTTTATTTGTTAAATATATACATCCATAATTATACAGGTTTAATTATTTTGTGCATATATCATAAAATAATTGAAATTAGTAAGGCTCTGTTGTGGTTTTCCTACTGTGAGAATGTGGGCAAATTTACATTCCCACATTGTGGTGCCATGCTTGGGCTGTAATGGAACACCTTGATGGAAGAACAGTGGCTGCTCCAAAAGCTGATTGGGTAAAATTGGTGTCATCTTTTAACATCCATTAACAAAGCTGCATTTAGGTGTAATTAAGTTATACTTAGTTTAGTACAAGATCTGACAGTATGAGAATACTGTAATTAATTCCAAGTTGTGTTAACATATCAATTGACACAAAGGTATACTTCCCATAGTACTTGCAAAACCTGCTCATATTACCCAGGAAGTGAAAAGATTTTTAAGAGAATGCTCTTATTTATAAAAGCATGCTCATAGCACCTTTTCATTTGGAATTGGGTTTGGTTTATTGTAGTCTAAGGCCTGGATATCAGGTGTGCTCCAGTCCTGGAAATCTTCTGAAACCCAGTTATTGTGGGTGCTGAAGTTTAAGGGACTGACGGTCTTTTATTTAAGACTGAGAAGATATTCAACTCTTTTCCTTAAATAGAACATTATTTTTTTTCAAAACTAATCTGTAACCAGCTTTGTTTCTGCAGCTGTCATTCACTCAGCTCTGTGTTTCCCTGTGAACAGAGCACTGCTGAAATTACTGCACACATTGTCTCTACTTGTCTCATTTTCAGTAGCAAAAGTTGATGATCACTTCAAAGAACTAATTTGAGAGACTAAATTGATGTTTGTAGTGAATGTTAATTTTCTTCCATGAAGGCATTGAATATATAAATGTAAATATTTGTATGTATATGTATACAATATAGGCGTGTGCTAGAAAAGCAGAAATGGTGAATTTACTTGGGTGCTCTTCAAAGTTTTCCCAATAGGGAATTGCAGAATACCAAATTATAATAAGCAATGATCTTTTATTTATTTTGTGTTTTGTTTTTCACAGCTACAAGAGAACCAAGATGAAATTGAAAATATGATGAACTCTATTTTTAAGGGTATATTTGTTCATAGATACCGGTAAGAAAATGCATGTTCCAGTAGGCTCTTCTAACGAAGTGTGGTCATAAGGAAAGTAAAGGGCAGTTTCTGTCTTGATTTTCTTCTGATGTAATATTCTAGATGCTGCAAGGTCACTGTCAAAAACACTTGAAATTATGGAAGAATATACAAATTGTAACCTCTATTATTTACTCAATAGAGCCATCCACACCATTTTATTTTAGTTCAGTAGACAGCTTGAAAGGGTTGTGGGAGATATGGGCTTTGAATCTTTGCATTTTGAAAAGAAAAGTTATCCATGTTGGGAGCTCAAAAATGACATAAGAATAATGAAATAATTACTGTGTATCATAGGATAGCAGTTGTCCTACAAGTCTGCATTTCCTTTTGTATGTCTTGAGTGTAAATAGCAAATTTGGAATATGGTTTACCAGAGAGCAGAAGTCTTTTAAAATAGATGTAGGGTCATTGTGTGTTGCAAGATGCCTCAGAGCATCTGCATCACCTTGGTGCAACCAGCTCTTTAAATGTTAATTGACTTGTTGAAATCAAAAGATAAAATTCAAGGGTACTAAACCATGCAATTAACCTTTAAGATTTCAGTTCTGCTTTAAAGGTTTATAATTTATGGAATCTTTTAGGAAAACGGCAGGAAAAAAGGTTGTATGAGAAGAGGGTTAGAAGGTGAAGAGGAAGCCATAGTTCAGTTGGACAGAGGGATGGTTGTAATTTGGAGACAAGACACAGAAGCTAGGAAGGTGCTTGTGCTGACAAATGTGTGAGTGTGACTAGCACAGTGGGGTTGAACAGCGTCTCCTCAGTACCTGAGTGTGGAAAGAAAGTTCATGGTTTATGGTCAGGAAGCCTTGAGCTGCTTGGCAGCAGGAAGATGGGTGTGCAGAGCCAGCAGGTAAATGAGTGTGCTAGGTCAGCATAGCACTCACATCATTTTGTTAGGAGAGCAGCTTTCGTGGCATAGATAAAAAAGGCTGAAGAAATTAAATTCTAAGAGTGTTTCCATTTTTATCCTCTCAGAACTTAGTGTATTGTATTGAACAAAATGTTGCTTTAAAATATTCTCTTAGTAGTTCACGCTCTTATGTGGGGTTGGAAAGAGACTCAGCCTTTGGTGGTCTGCATTCTGGTGCTTTTTCTTTTTCTTTTGAAATCCTCTTTTTGTAAAAAAAATTCTTTTCATGCCTCCTGCCACCACTAGTGAAGACCTGATTTTGATGATGTTGCTGTAAAAGAAGAGACGCCAAATAAATAAAATCCATCCATGCTCTTGTAAAAGTTGTCCATGGTGACCCTGTTAGACCAGTGGGGAATTGACTGAAATCAGACAGGTGGTGGCACCACTTGTGCCTCTGTTCAGAGGGGTCAGGAGGAACCTGTTCCCACCCTGCCCCCAGAGCCACCTGTGTGAGCACTAGCCATCCCTGACCTTTAAGCCCCAAAGAGTCTCTTACAACATACACCAAACTACGAGTAATGGTACACGACAGAGAGAGCAGAGTTGCACTCACAGCTGGACGAGAAAAGGAGGGGGAAAATGTCTGTATGAGACCCAGCTAATTGACAACAAAGCCCAGTAGGGAGCAGATGTAAAGGATTTTGAACTTTTACCTGCTTTCATAACTCCTTAATTTCCTGAACCTTCCTTCTCTCAAATAGCTGGAATTATTTATAAACTTCACATGATTTTAGGCTGTAGACCATGCACAAGTGGTGATGGTTTTGAAAGAATGTTATTTCAATTATTCCCAGAGAGTAGGTCCCATCCTTCAATATGATTCAGACTCAGCCACAGTGATTCATGCTTAGTGACCTTTGTAGCTTAAATAACAAGTCCTTGACCTAAACAAAACCCCCAAAACTGTTTCACTCAGAATGTGTCTTCTGACAAGTATTGCAGTGAGGTTACATCTTTTTTCTGTAGCCTGGCTTCCAATTTACTGGAAGATTCCAGTGCTCACTTCTCTCATCAAGAAAAAAAACAAAATTGCAGAAATAGCTAAATAGTCTTCTAGGTACAATGCTAGTCTAGTGTGAACAGCAGATTTGGTCAAAACCTGAGATATTCTTAAGAAGCATGCAGGAAATGTACCCACCTCACTGCATGTTGCCATTTCTCCTTCCTCAGCCAGAATCCTTTACAGTTAGTAAATTTATAAGGTTATAAATTGGATTTGTGGGGGTCCTAATTAAGGTCCAGAGATGAGAGTCATAGAAAAAAGAAGTATAAAAGACATTTTTGTCTGGTTCTCATGATAATTACATCTTCAAAAGGTTTCTAAATGGACAGGCAGCCCAAGAGATGGGCCCAGTTCTGCCCAAGTGGCAGTGGTGTGGTTCTGTGTAGCTGCTCCATTTCCTGTCCCTTGAGTGGGAGTTTGCGTTTCCATCCCACAGAAAGCTCAAGGCGGTGACTCACCCTTGGTTCTGTCCTTGTTAGAAAGTTTTCCTGTAAACTAACTCTCAGCCCAACCCATTGACAGAATTTTTTCTGTTTTTTTCTGTATTTTTCTGTTCATACTGGTTTGCCTGTTAAGTAATACCACTATCTTCTGATGGTTATCTGCAGTTCTGGCTGTTTCAGAACAAGGTGTGAGAAGCAGCATCTCCAGAGGTTAGACTGGGAAAGCAGGTGCAACGACAGTAGTGAGGCTCCTTTAGGAGCTTCCAAGAAGCCTTGAAGCAGTTCCTGCTCCGCTGCTCATCCCCAGGTCATGCCTTGGTCTGACTCAGCACTGGCAGTGCTGTAGAATGTGAGCATCCAAGGCACTGCACATCAGCCAGGCTTGCTTAGAGGGCTTTCAGTTTAGTTGTGATTAACCTCATGAGTTTGTGATTAAACAGACTGAAAGAACCCGTGAGCTGGAGCTGAAGCTGGAAACCACTCCAGCAAGCCTGAGGAGCACACTGCTTTGCACCTGATGTTTCCCAAATAACCATCAGAGTCTCTGTGACTCAGGTCCTGAATACTTCTGGCCTTAATCACAATTCCTGTGTGTATTTTGGCATGAAAGGTATGCTGAAGTAGCACTTGGAGTGGCACTGGTAAAATCTGTTTCCTGACGTTACTGTGGTTTGTCCTAAGATTTATGGGCCTGCCTTGTCAAGCCAAGATTTCAAAAGGAAATGCAGAATTTCTTATCTGAACCCCTTCTGTCAGATCTTATCAGAAGTTGCATCATGGAGGGTCTCTTCACCCAGAGTAGGAACTTGGGCTGTGAACTGTGCTGCAAACATTTTCCTCTTGTAGACCTTGCTTTGCAGTTTGTGCTGAAAAAAGGGTTAAATATATTTCATGTCTAAGATCCATAGATGCCACATTAGTTTTCGCCTCTATGCTGGAGTAGATTCTGTTTCTTTCTAGATGCATTTAACAAGCTTACATCACTAATTTGTAATTATGATAATTAATAATGCATTCATTATTCCAAAAACATTTCTAGTGCAGGTATATTAGTATTTAAGTTTTTGTATCATCCAGAATTAATGTGTATTTTTAAAAAGCTAAACAATTCATAGTGACTGTGACCAGAAGCTAAAAGTATTTAACTGTACAAAAATTAGAAGAAAAGAATTACAGTTTAGTGACAAGCAATTACCACATTGATAGCAAAGGTACAAAGAGTTTTTTGCCTGTATTGTGTTTGATACAGCACTGGATGGGCATGGAGTCTGTGTTAGTGATTCCTGCAGGAACTCAAGTGATTCTGATTGGTGATAGTTACCTGTGGGTGGGAAGTGGTGTCTCACAAGTTCCCCTGCTTCTCCAGCACCTTGAGTCTGTTTGCTGGTCTCACATGCCTTATCCATGATTCTGTCTTATTTTCAATTATACTAGAGTTGTTAAATTCTTGTTATACTAAATCTCTTAATCAGCTGAATAGCTTTCTTCTTCCTTTCTTTCTTCTTTTTTTTTAATTAGCAGCTTGGAGTGAGTGTCTGTAGTGCCGAGGGATCCCTGAGAAGGCTTTTGAATCAAGAAGCAGTTTTTCATTGTCTTCCTAGGGAAGCTTGAATGCATTCTTAGAGAAAACATGATTTTTCCTGCTCTTTGGCTGGCTGTGTGCTGCATGATTAAATAGTTGTTGACATTTAGGTTCTTTTTGGGATTGCCATTAAATACTTCCAAAATCCTTTGCAGTTAGTAAATTTATAAGGTGGTGAAGTAACCTACTTGGATGTGAGGACTCAGGCTGTCATCCCCTAGGAAGAATGTCTTCCTTACTACTTTGTGTTGCTGCAGATGTGGCTCCCCATCTTTTCTTCATTTATATTTACTAGTCTTCGCGGTTTTTCGATAAGTCTTGCATTCTTCCAACTATATTTTGCTTTTAAAATAGTTTAAAAGTAACTCCATATAAGAGAATTGCTAATCTAGTTCAGTGTGAAGCAATGTACAATTAAGTACACACACGGATAGATATATATATATAGATATAGCTAGATAGATAGATAGATAGATAGATGTGTGTGTGTGTATGTATGTATATGTGGCTATAGTCATAGTTAAAACTAAACTAAGCATAGCTAAAACTTGTCTTCATTATGGCTGCCTTTCCCATAAGGAATGTAGTTTTTAACCCTTGATTGTGATATTTAGCACATTGGTCCTTACACTTAAACCTGTTTGAGAAATCCTGGGTGGGAGCAGCTTGTTTGATGCCCTGCCCTGCTCCTAGTGCAGCTTGTCTCCATTGTGGATTGCCTCTTTCCTTGGTTCTGGGATTACAGAGCCTTCACAAAGTTGGGGCAGGCCAGATTTACTGATGCTATTGGGAAATTGTTTAAATTAATGTTTCTCATAGGCAAAGAGAGACAATGACAGTGGTTTGGTGGCATTCACACAGGTGTCCCCCTCATGTTATTGCATTAAATGCATTACATGCTGCTTATGCTTTTCTGCTGTTACAACAGTACAGTTTCCTCCCTACAAGCTGAATTCAAATGCCAAGACTTGCCTGGAGAAGTGCCCCCGGCCGTATGAGATGCTGGGCTTGGTTCATGCTCCCTGTGGGAGCTGTGGGTTCCAGCTCAGGCGCTGGAAGGTCAGGGAGAGGACAAAGGCACTGGATCAGCTGGGCCAGCCTGCAGGAGGGAAGTACATAGATCCAGTATGGAGTCACCAGGGGTTTGCTACATTGGGTTAGGACTATGAACCTGTGCAGTTTCTTGACCAGAAGAGTGAGTGCATTTCATTTATATTTTGTAAAATTGCTGACTTTCATAAAAATGCAGTTTCTCATTTTTGCATTTATTCTCCTGCTTGAAGCTTGGAATTTTTCTTTCCTTTCCATAAATTATATTACATTTTGGGGCTCTAGTTTAGAATTAAATTGATATTTATTACTTTTCCAAAAAAGATTTTTTTAAAATAAAAATACAAAACAAGGGTCTCAATTACAAGCAAGTAGTGTTCGTGAAGCACCAGACAGTCCCTTCTTCTCTGCAGTGACTCTTTGTGTTCTTCTTGTATTACAGCTGAAACTTAGAACTGTGAGGCAGTGCCAGCTGGAGTGGCACAAGTGATTTCTCATGGTAACAGATGTCCCAGAGATGGAATTACTGAAGGGACAGATGGCCCCCATCTCTTTTCCCATTGTTTCATTATTAGTAAAGATGCCATGCTCCATGGCAGGCAGGCAGGAAAGTGCCACTCAGATGAAAAGCATTTCCATCCACTCTCCTTAGGTGACCTCTCCAGTTTTCTGCCACCCCTCCTCACTGAGCAGCTGATAGGTCTGCCTGAGATATGTCTTTTCTTCTTCCATGACTTGCCACAGTCAGAATGTAGGATAAAAACAAGAAAATTGGAGAAACCAATGCTGAAGTGCAAAATTCTCAAGGGGAAGTACGGGTGTTCATGCGGGATATGAAATGAGATCTCTTTGTATAGTAAATTCCATTGTGCTCCTCTGGCAGCTGCCTTTGGCTAAACCAGAGTTTCACCTACCTTGAAATGGTTCTGCACCTCAAGCTGGAGACAGGACTGCAAAGCAAATATCAGTGATGCTGTTTCAGAAATTCTTGCCCAGAGGAGGTTTATGACTTGGGTTCATAATTCTCTTTGGAAAGAGAGAGGTTAAAGATGGAGCAATAGACTAAGAAGCAAACTACGGTGAGAATTTATGTATGTAGAGGAAATGTAGGAGCATATATAAACACTGAAATTATTAGATCAGTGAGTTCAAGGATGTCGAGGAACAGAAAATCAGTGAGATGGCAGTAAGAACAGTGACAGGCCTCACACAGTGAGGTTCATGACAAGTAAAAGCAAAATATTATAGCTATGGGGATGAGAAGTATATGTGTCTAATCTGGCTAATCCTTGTTCTTTTCTTTTTCCATATTAGTGATGCTATTGCTGAGATTAGAGCTGTCTGTATTGAAGAAATTGGTGTCTGGATGAAAATGTACAGTGATGCCTTCCTGAATGATAGTTATTTAAAATATGTTGGCTGGACACTACATGACAGGGTGAGTATTGTGTATTCCCACACTCAGCAGAGTGCTCTGGAGGGAGCTGCTGCCGTGCTTCTGCCCAGCACAGCGTCATCCTTGGCTTACAGAGAGATTGCTGTTTCCTCACCTGGTATCTTTCAATCAGGTCACTTCCAGGTATTGGCTCAAATTAGGAGACAATATTCCCAGTCTGCTTGGTCCATGTGCTTTTCATGTGTCCAGTCTCTGATGAAGTATCTTGACAGAAATCCTTCCATGGGGCTTTTCTGTTGATTACAAGAGAAGTCTCCTCAGAGCACCCCTGAGAGCCTCTGTGTCTGAAGCAGAATGGAAAAGGGATTTCTGTGTCTCTTCCACTTATATTGCCCAAAGGTTAGAGGAAAAAAGGAGATCTCTGGGCCCTCAGTAGACACCACTGGTTCCACAACCAGTGGAGTTCTCCTCAGTTCACTTTTCCTTCCTTGAAGAATCTTTTTAGCTTTTTCTTCAGAAAACTGTTGAAACACCAGATGGAAGGAAAAGAGGTGCTTTTCTGGCTCAGCACAGTTCTTAGTGCTGATGGTATCCACCCAGTTCTTGCAGCAAGAGGAGCCCATTCTGGGTGCTGACAGAGGACTTTGCACTTCTGCCTGGGAGATTTTATATACCAGGCAGCAATGGGACTGGCTGTGCTCCCACTCCCACTAAAACCACTGGAATCAGTTGTTTTACTCTGAATTCCCTTGCTAACACTATCCAAGGAATACAAAGGAGACTTAAGAGTGCTGTTGAAATGCTCATCAAATTCCAGCATCCCGATTCAGACTAGTCTTCTTTTCTAGGAGCACTGCTGGAAAAAAAAATTGTAAGTCTGCAAGTTCTTTCAGATGACTTGCATAACTCATAGTTAACAGCTGATTCTTTAAAAATACTACTTTTTTCACTGGAGGATCTCTCACACCTTTTGCATCCTTCAGCCAGTGCTGTCCTGTTGTGAGAGATGGAATGTAAAACATGTGGGGGTAACAAATGCAATGTGTGTGCCCTGTGTCCCTGCCCTGGCAGGTAGTTGAGCTGCTGAGCCCATACCCAGTCATTTTGAGCCCCTGAGCACTGATTGTGAGCACGAGTTGTCAGTCATGAGGTGTCTGTGGGCTCCTTCCTGAAGACAAACAGCCACACTGCCTGCACCAACCACCTGGAGAGCCTACGTCTCTATTTTGGATTTCCTTGCTACATTCTTTATCTTTTTGTGGAACCACTTGAAAGAGAAGCGCTAACAGACGTCTAAGTGATGGCACATTAATTCTTTCTGTATGCAAATAGGAAGTAATTTAACATTGTAGGTGACTGCATGTAGGTTTTGGTTTTTAGCTAAATTGCAAATTGGCTTTGGTCATTTGCATAAAATTTTAAATTTCATTAAACAAATGACAGTATTATGTTTTTTAATATTCATGTGCATTTGGTTAAAGTATTCTGACAGCTAATCTCAGTGTTTTTTATTTAGCAAGGTGAAGTGAGGTTGAAGTGTTTGAAAGCTCTGCAGAGTCTGTATACCAACAGAGAGTTGTTTCCCAAACTGGAGCTGTTCACTAATAGATTCAAGGTAAGAGGAAATACAGTTTTTGGAAGGATGGCAAAAGTAGAAGTGTCATTATCCTGTTGTGGTCTTTGAGTCACATCTATTAAGAATAAAGTCATTAGTTTGTGAGGAAGCTTGTAACTGCACTACTGAATTGTTACTGAATGCTGAAATTAAGCCAAGTCCATTTCATGGAGTTTATCTTGGAAGATTTGTCAGACTTAACCAGGATGATTATTTGTCTGTATGTATTATTTATAGCTTCTATATTGTCCTTATTCAATCTGCCTGTACTTATTTAATTTTTGATTTATTGAATTAAAAGGATGTACACAATTTAAATTACACAATTTAAAATATAGCTGAAAGTAGCAGCCTGTAATGAAGGGTTGTTTGTTACACAGCTTTTTTAGCTCAATATATGCTTGTGTTTGGAGGGAGAGTCACTTGGATGTGCATCACAGTCCTCTACACAGTGAACTGGCCTTGCTGCAGAACAGGAGTTCACATTGTGTTTCCACACCCCTTGAGCTGGATTGGCTTTTCAGGAGAGAAGTGCTGGGGGGGATAATTCACGGGGTTTTTATCAGCACAAACTTTTTGCATAATATCTGGGTAAGAATGTGGCTCTTAATTCACTTTGTGGTCTGACTGCTTTATTGTACAAGTGAACTGTCTGGAGGGATGGGTGTGGAATTGTTCCTGCTCTTGTTTGGATGCCTGGTGAGGAGAGTGTTCAGGCCCTGCCACCATGTCAGCTGCTACATCTCCCCATGGCTTTTGTGTTCTGCAGAACACACTACTGTGGGAAAGGCTACCCGCAAGGAAAAACTCATTTATCTCATTTAAATCTTTATTAGAATGCTGATGAAACAATTTGTTTAGAAAAGAAACAGAGCTGACTGGTTTATTTTAACTTAAATCATTATTATAATGCTGATAAAAAATTCTGTTTAGAAAAGTGGAAATTAAAATATTTATAAATACTGTGCACAAGACCTAAACTTCTACCTGTAGACTTTATGCTGGTTCACTGGTTTGTCTGCCATCTCACAATTAACTCCTCCAGTCTGATCTAGAAAAAAAAAATAAATAAAAAAATAAATTGTCCTATTTTCCCTGTATGTAAACAATTTATGAAAACATGATAATCAGCATTTTACCACATTCACTTGTGATGCTGAAAAAAGATGCTTAACCTTCAGTAAAGCCTAGATATTAAGGAAGGCTTTTTTCCAAATGATAATTATATAATAGAGCATATCTTTATTGATAGTCTTCTTCATTTAAGATAACAGTCTTAAAGGGCAGATTAAATAAATATCTGTCAGAAATGAACTATGTATAGTTGACTAAAGTAGGAGATAAAACTGGAGCATTTTGTGAGACCACTTAAGAGCCTGCATTCTTCTAATTTTATAAAGCCATTTTCTGGGACTGTCAGTAAAGGCAAAATTTCCTCTCGTAGGAGAGAACCTGGCAAACAGGTTCAGACCTCTCTAATGCCTCCATAAGTCTGGTTTCCTCTATCCTCACAGGACAACCAGAAAAATGGAGCCTCCAACTCTGCTGCTTTTCCTCTTCACTCTGTGCAGATTTAGATTTGTTTATATTTGCTGCTTCTGTAATTCCACTTATTTTTGAATAGGCCACTAAAGCTCTCATGGGCCTTCATCTACTTCTCTTTACTAGAAAATATGCTGGATGCTTCTCTGTCAGGATCCCATAATTTGTAAGGGAAAAGACTTCTTTGAGGCTGCACCTCTCCCATGCACCCACAAAACTTTCAGGACAATCTGGGACACTTTGGGCAATAGTTACTCTGTAATGTATTCCAGGAAAACTACAGGAACATGAAATGAAACCCCAATAGTAAATAATGTATCATTATGAAATTAGTAAGAGGAAAAGGTGTGTTCAAAGTCTCTGTGAGCCTAGAGAACAGATTTATTTAACATAATCATTAATCACTTTCAGTTTCTGCCACATCAAGAGAACAAAAAGCTGGCTTGGTCCAAATGCCTGGACTTGGATTTACAGCTGCACTGTCAGGGATGTGGCCTTTGGCACGAGGATGGAGCAAAGTTCCAAATTAATGCTTTCTGAATCTCTGATACATTAGCTAAATGTCTTGCTGTCACAGACTCCACCACCACCTCTTTGAAAAATAATTGACCTAACTGCCATTTTCAGTTCCTTGGCTGCTTATTTATATTTCTTCATCAGAATTTAATCAACCTGCACAGTTCAGCTAGTGTTCAGTTCAATCCATTCAAATGGAGAGAAATCTCTCTAGAGGTCTTTTAGCTGTTTAAAGAATAAATTAATTTGATCCATAGTGCCTTGTACTGGTGTGTTAATATTTCACCACCTTCCAGAGAGCTGTGACAAGGATGTGATCCTGTCTCTTTTTCTAAGAAAAATGCCTGTTCTTTCCAGCATTTGTGTTTCTAAGGTGATACGCTGGAAAATAAGCTCAGTCCATCAAAACAAAAATTTGTCCATCAAAGAGAAGACTTTTGTTTTCCATCAAGATGTCCTGTCCAATACAGACATTAACTGACCCCATATGGAAAGGTGGGAATTAACTCCTCTGCAGTCAGTGCCAAAGTGCTTCATCTCTCACCCTATGCTGTCTCCACAACCTGGGAGCAGAAGGAGAGATTGCCTCTTCAGTCTGCCTTGTTCAGAGCCTAATATAGAATGGAAAACTGATCTTCAGGGACACTGAGAATTAGTAACTCAGCTTAAAAATACAGGCCTGTGCCCTGTTCTGCTGCTTTAGAGCGGTACAGGGAATCTCTGTACAGGCAGATTGAGCAGATGGGGGTTGGAATTTGCTCAGCCAGAAGTTACACCTTTCATTCAGGGGAATGAAGTGAGGCAGTTTTTCTGTTGCTGTCCAACCCAAGTTCATGACTTCAGGAAAGACCTGTTAAATTAATCCAACCCAGAACAGTGCTGTAACTCTCAAGTCTCCTCCCTCCCTTTCTGGCAAACACACAAGGATAAGGACTGTTGAAGCACTTGTTCCTGTTGTTCCACTGTGCATATGGCACACAGCTGAGGGGTACATTAAAAGGCTGGGTAATGTTGAGGGGCTCTCATTGTCAGCGTGCAGTCGAAACATCTTTCTCACAAAAAGTATTTATTTTGTAATCTCTAGAATTTTCCACCTGCTGGCTGTGCTGTGTTGTGCCCTGTGACTGACCTAGAGTTGCCTTGCAGGATCGCATTGTGTCCATGACCCTGGACAAGGAGTACGATGTTGCTGTGGAAGCCATTCGATTGGTCACGCTCATCCTCCAGTGAGTGCTGCTCCAAACCCCTGTGTTCCCCTGGAAAATTACCTAAACCAGGAACATTTGAGTGAACTGAGTGCCTTGTTTGTGTATTGAAGTGAATGTATTACTTTACACTTAGTATGAAGTTGAACTGAACACATATTATGGACATGAAGCTAAAGTAAGATACTTCATTTCATGGAAATACAGGAGGCAAAGTTTAAAAAATGTTTGGATGTTTTGGAGTCATCAGTGCATCCATAGTGTGGAAGAATGCCAAAGGGCATTTCTACCTTTTGCCAAGGGCAGAACAACTGTCCTCCCAAAATGAGTGTCTGTGGATTACACTTGCTAGAATAACTCCAGCAGTAACACAGATGCAGCATAGGGAGATTTGACTGATTTCCTGACACAGCTGGAAAGTGTCACGTGGTAGGACACCTGCTTCCAGGCTTTTCCATGTGAGGATGCAGTGGCTCCCCTGAGGTAAGGAGCACCTCAGACATTCTCCCACATGCTGATGTGGAACCAGCCTTTCCCCAGCAGCCTCATGAGAGTGCACCTGGAGGGGCACTGCTAGGCTTTTATATTTATTAAAAACTGTATTAAAGAACATCTGGTTTACAAGCAGATGCACAGAAGTTTTGCTTCATATTTTATATCCAGTGGCACCACTTTGAAGAATGTTTTTGGACATGCAGAATTTGAACGAAGTTTACACTATCCTTTCCTTAGTAAAGAAGTCTAGACTTCAGCTTTTTATTTTTGGGTCACTTTTTTAAAGAGATTAGCCTTGTATTATTAGCAAGAAATTAAATCTTGCATCTACTGTTATATTTTTAAAGTAAATATAACAAATATGATCTGAAATTATGTGTAGAGCATATCTCTTCCCTGCATTATCAACAATTTTTGGGAACACAGTAAGTTAAGGTCAAAAACTACCCAGTGCACTTTTTTTTTGTCTGTTCCTGCTTTCTTTTTGGTTGCCCATTGAAAGCACAGGCAAAGCTGAATGTCTTTAGCACCAGAAGGGTCACCTTGAAGAGCACAGGGCAATATTCTGGCAGATAGGAACTCCAAAAAGATGTCTGGAGCACTTTTGAATGACCAATTAAAATTATGCCTTGTATGAAGCCAAATGATTTAGAGTCCTTATACATAAATGGTTCTGATGGATGCCAACTAAACAAGGATGGAGGTAATATCCTGATTGTGACAGTGCTGGTATTTTTATATCGTTTTTGCTAATATTCTGGGACAGGCTGCCAAGGGAAGTGTTCAAAAGTGGGTGTAGCACTTGGGGACATGGATTAGTGGTGAACACAGAGGGCCTGGGTTAATTGTTGGACTCAGTGAGCACTGGGGTCTTTCCCAACCTAAAGGATTCTGTGATTCCAGGTTTGCAGTTTGTGATGTTTGATGAGTGTTTGGCATCTTGCAGTATGTACATTGAAGTTTGTGTGATGGTCTAAGGAATAAGCAGGGGAGGGTTTGTATGGCAGTGATTCTGATCCTTTCATAATATTATTTTATCTCTCTATTCATACAACTGGGAGAAGGAAATCAGAGAAACTTCCAGTCTTACAGGCACTTTAAATACTTCTCTATTTTGAAATTGAACCAAAGCTCGAAGTCCTTGTTCAACCATGTAGGATTTTGTGGGAAATGAACCAACCTTGTAGCTGTCCCAAGTGAGCTGTGGGAGGTGTGGGATGGAAATGAAACCTCTGCTGTAGTTCAGGTGTTATTGTGACTCTTTCAGTGGGAGCGAGGAGGCTCTGTCCAATGAAGACTGTGAGAATGTTTATCACCTGGTGTACTCAGCACACCGGCCTGTGGCAGTAGCAGCTGGGGAATTCCTCCACAAAAAGTAAGTCATTAGTTGCCCTGGAGTAAGACCAGATTTGTGATTGCTTCCTAGAGAGGTAACATCAAAAAGCAGAGAAGCAGTGGAGTGAAACATTGCAATTTAGCAAATCAGGTATTTAATTTCAATTACAGACTTTATTCTCTTGTTTAAACAAGATCTGGGGACTTGAAGAAACTGAATATACATTTTTCTTGCTGTACAATTCAGATAACATTTCCTAACAAGGGTTAAATATACGAAGGCTGCACAAACTTCTAAAGTTGGTTTAAGTCCTGCAGCACTTGCTGAATTCCCAGTGTGATAAGATACATATATTGGAGCTGTCCTCTGGGGTATCTACCTGATACATACACAGTCATAATTTCTATCAAGTTTTAAACCAGTTTATTTCTCTGATTTGAATTTGAGAGGTTTTTATTTAGCAATAATTACAAAATCTGTTTCTAAACTTGCTGTCTTCCCCTGAAAATATATTGCATTATGTTACATCTCTCATGTCCTCACTATTCCAAAGGACATGAGCCAGCTTTTCCATGGATGTGTCACACCACCCCAGTAACTGTGACCAGGGCATTGCCACATCACAGGAGTTAATCTCTTCCTTTTATTGTTTGCAGTTAAAAGTCTTTCAGCAGGAATTTGATTTTTTCCCCTCATGGGTTGTGACATTAGAGTTTTTTATTACATGTATAGAGGATTTATATTAGAACCCACATTGTCTAATTTTTTCATGCCAAGATACAGGTAGGAAAAAATACACAAAAACATCTGTTTTTCTTTGCCAGTGCTCTAATTCTCTATGGTTTATTAGGGATTTACAACTCCACGTTGTAATTGTAAGCTTTCATTGATGGATTTTTGGAATTCCAGCTTTCTGATCAAGCACTATCTGTTTCAAGGAATATATGTGCAGATCTCCATTACCAACAAGACATTGTACTAGTTATTGGAAAGGGTTAGGTTCTCATTAAAAATATACACTAAAATTCCTTTCTTAATCAACATGTGACAAAATAATTTTGAAAAATGCCTCAAAGGTAAATAAGGACATAGTTGCACCTCACTGCACAAGGTTTTTAGGAGTTTTTAGGATAAAAACTTCATTCTGACTTCTTTTGTGAGGTACTAAGCTGTGCTCTGTAAATGTGTCTCAAGGCTAACAGCATGAAGACAAGATTGTCCCATTCTTAACTAATTTTGTCTTGGTTTCTCCAAAGAAAATCTCCAGTTAACTAAGTTAGAATCTATTTCAGGCACTTGAGGTGTGATTTATCTCACCTAATTTAATACATTTCACTATCACTTTCTCTGTGATAATCATCAGACATGCTCTCTGTGCTTAGCAAAGGAAAGCAAACAGTACAGAGGATATAAAAGATGACCAAATACAGAAGATCACTGGCTCAGCCCTGAGGTGCAGGTAGTAAGTTTTCATCACCTGCAGAGGTGCTCATTGCTTATCTGTTAAGATAAGCAGGGGGATGAGGTAATGTTTTTAACTAAAATACAACATTTGTGTGGAACTTACCTGTCTCTTCAGTGAGTTACAGCAGTGAAATCAGAATTCTGTGTTTCATGTGTTAATCTGCTTTGTGGTTTCACTGTAAAAGTCAGGAACAGCTTCCAAACTTATCAAAGTAAAACTGTCATTGCTGTAAGAGTTACACCGGCACACCTGAGGTCTCTTGGAAAATTTGAGCATTGAGAGGATGTTGGGATGGGCCATGCATCAGAGAACTCAGTGCAGAGTGTGTCACTTACCTGTAAAACCCCAAAAATGAGTAGGAGCTGGTTTTATCTTTGATGCTGCTCCTGGTACCTGAGGTTGGCTATGTGATGGATGTCAGGTTTGCTTGTACCATGTCCCAGCCAGAGTGATACAACCTTAGCTCTTAGCACAATGGTGCAGTAGTTGTTGCCTCCACTGTAAGACTGGATAAGTTATAAATGCAAAAATGTACAAGTGATGCAAATACTTAAAATTCTGCAAAGCCTTCAATATAAGTAGGTTTTGGAGAACTTTTTCATGTGTGAAATTCTTCCAGCTTTGTGAACTCAAAGACTGAAGATAAATTGATCTCTTCAGACAGGCAGAGGTTGTGCCCTCTTTCCCTTGAAAGAAATATTGAGATACTTGCACTGTTTTATGAACAGATTTACTAAGAGTGAATGCTCTTCATATTCTTGCAGAAATGAGAATTGTTGTGATAGCCATGAGCTCCTTCTGCTTATTTTCAGGCTGTTCAGCAGACATGATCCCCAAGCTGAAGAGGCTCTAGCAAAGAGGAGGGGCCGAAATAGCCCAAATGGAAACCTTATTAGAATGTTGGTTCTTTTCTTTCTTGAAAGTGAGGTAAAAAAGTAATTTTTAATGTTTAAATGTTTAATTAAACCTGGAACTTAAACAGTGATTTATCAACATACAGTAATAAATTGTCTCTATTTTCATTTTTTTTTAATATTTTCAGAAATACTGTAAGCCCTTTTCTCTGCCCCTCCATTCTCATGTCCATTAAGGAAATTGATCTGAATATCTTCATGGTTTATTTAACTCGTGCATGTCCCCACTGTACTCACACTGCATTGCTGGTGCTTTGGTGGCTGCCAGGGTGCATTGCTGCACACAAATGTAAATGGTTCTTCGCTTACAAAACCATGCAAGGAGAACACCTCTGGACTTACTCTTTGTGGAGTAAAATAGTTTGAATCACGATGGAACAAAAATTGCATAGTATCTCCAGTTCTGATTAGAATCATAGATGAACTCGGAGTGGGAAGGACCTGAGGGTCCTTAGCTCAGAGCAGAGTCAGCTGTGAGGATGAGATGAGATGAGATGAGATGAGATGAGATGAGATGAGATGAGATGAGATGAGATGAGATGAGATGAGATGAGATGAGATGAGATGAGATGAGATGAGATGAGATGAGATGAGATGAGATGAGATGAGATGAGATGAGATGAGATGAGATGAGATCTTTCAGGGCTTTATGCTGATGCATCTTGGAAACATTGGAGGATGAGGAAAACAAGCATAGATGTGGTGACATGAAGTGTTTAATGAACACATCCAGGATGGGATTGTGCCCATGATTTATAGAGACATTTATATGGGAGATTGTATGGTACATGTAGTAACAGTAATACAGATTGGGAATGGCAGTGGAGGGAGGAAAATTTAAGATACTGTCAGGTACAGGATGTTCTTAAGATAGAGGGGGAAGATTCAAAATTATGCGAAAGGAATGACATAAATGTTTCTCTAGAGGAAGTATATTAGTATATAAACTATAATAGAGGCAGTATATTTTGGGTAAAAAGCAAAAGGAAAGATATTACAATTGGTCATTTTAATTGTTAGGAAGCCTTGAACAAGAGACTTGACTGTGAGAATGAAACACTCAGAGTTGCTGAGAAGGAAGGACAAAAGTTTGGTAGTGTTCTTGTTTTTTGGAAACACCTCATAAACCTACAAATTAATCTGGATGAAATGTCACTACCTATGTGAGCCTTCCATCTGCCACCTGAATGAATTTTTAGTTCAAGCTTCTTTAAAACTTAAATTGTACAGTTCATTGTGTTTTACAGTGTAGACACCTTAGATCTGAGTGTGTGTGACTGGACTTACTGAGCACTGACTTTGTCTGTTCTTCTGAAGAGAAAAGAAACTGCTCCACTCCCAAAGCGAAGACCAGCAAAGGGCCTCCCATGCTGCTCCCTGAGGGTCACTTCTCTCTCAGGGCCAGGTTTTGCTATCGTTGTTTTTGAGAGACTTGTTAGGAACCAAGTAGAATATCCTGACTCAAATTTTAGTAAAGAGTAAGAGAAATGGGACCTTCCTTGCATGTGGGTGGGACAAGTTAACAATGCAGCCTGGGGGTGCATTCTAGTGATTGAACCTTGCCCAGGAGCAGTTACTCTGTGACATTTTGCTCAAAGCTGTCAGAAACAGAGGGGAATGTACTGACACCTCCTTCTCTGTACTTGGAGATGTTTCCTAGCTAAGGAATCAGTCCCTGGCAACCACAAACTGCACGTTGTGCTTGTTACTTGTTGGTAGTAGTTAAAGATAAGTTTAGAAAACAGCGGAAGCCTATGGATTATTTTTCTCACTTTACAACAGTTGTGTTAATTCACATAAAAACATTTTTTGCAGTTGAAGTTAGTGTTAAATCTATATGCCCTGAAATCACCAAGGTTTTTACTCCTTTTTTCTGAGCACATAGCAGCATGTATGAAAACCAGTTGCTTGTTCAAAACAAATACAACTCTCATGCCTCACCATCTCTTCCTTCTATAAGGCAGTGAGAAAGTGAGGGACGGTAAGTTTACAGCTTCTAGGTCAAAACTCTGGGAAAGATTTTTTCACAAACAAGGAGCTTCATGCAAAGAAGCTCAGTTTGGTTTTATTTCATCTCTGTTAAAACATAACCCCACTGCACTGATGTCATTCACTTGGGATTCAGAAATTCAGTCATTCAAAAAACCTTCCTGAATTAGTTTCAAACTGAATGTTCTTTCCAACTAACATAAGACATATGCCCAGGCACTCTCTGTGGCTATATGATTGTGAAAGTTGAAGAACTGGTGCTTATACCAAGAGCTGTACTGATGATTGCTTTGGATTTTCTAGTTGCATGAACATGCAGCCTATTTGGTGGACAGCTTGTGGGAGAGCTCTCAAGAACTGCTGAAAGACTGGGAATGTATGACAGAATTGCTCTTGGAGGAGCCAGTCCAAGGAGAAGAAGGTATTGGCTGAATCCTGTGCTTCCTTGATATTGCAGAGTGTTGTTAATTATTCCTTAAATATCTCTGCTACCCATAGCAAAAGATCTTTTTATGTTGTGGTTTGTTTGGAAAGCATATTTGAAGATTTTGAGTTAATCTGTTTTTAATGTAATTTCCTACAAAAGCAGCAGTTTCTAGTGTATTTTTCTTTTTATTTGTACTCTGGAGGTTTTTTTTTGTCAAAAAGTTTGCTGTACTCTGATTCCCTGATATTAAAGGATAATACTTGATTTGCTTGAATGTTTAAATAACTGTTTCAATAAATGAAATAGCTAATACAATTTTGAACAAACAAGCACTTCAGGTGATGCTAGTTAAATATGGGGCTTTTCCAGGCAATGTGAACACAATGAATTCTCAGGAGAAAAACCAGAGGGGAATAATTCACCATTAGTTTCAGATTTCCTTTTGCTAATAATAGACCGGGGTGCACAAAATAGCCAGGGAGGCTGGGGGAAAAGAATCCCTAAGGTTAATGAGTGTCATTCAAGATCCTTTATAATTCCTCAGGATTCTTCTGCTTCAGGAACCTTCACAAGGCTTAGGTGTTTGAAAAATGAATATTCCTGGCAAGGTGTGCTCATCATTTCCATGCTTCAAAAGCTCACCTTTTGGTATGCAGCTGCTACCAAAAGGGTAATATCCTTAGGAAATTAGGCACTTTGCTTCCTTGTTTTTCCTTAGTCTAGTGGGGTTTGATCCTCCAAATGTGAGCAGAAACACTTGCCAAAGAGCAGAGAATTTATGAGGAAGTGATAGTGAATTGTCTGTCACTGTTTGTCTTCTATGACTCTGCCTTATTTTGTAGATCTTCCTTATGTTCCCTTTCATTGATCCTTTTCTCCAGCCTACATTTCTCTGGGCTTCTTTCACTTCTGCTGTGTCCATTTTGAGATGATGCAAATGGCAAATGAAAGAGGAGGCAGGAAAGCCTCGATAAATGTGACAGAGTTCCCTTGTGTGCAGTGTTGTGTGCTGCTGTGTGTTCCCCTGCTGTACCAGACGTGTCCCCAGTGATGCTCTGTTCTCCCCGCAGCGATGTCGGACCGGCAGGAGAGCGCTCTGATAGAGCTCATGGTGTGCACCATCAGACAGGCTGCCGAGGCACATCCCCCCGTGGGCAGGGGCACTGGCAAGAGGGTGAGTGGGGCTGCAGCTGCCTGGCTGTCACCAGAGCATGGGAGATACTTGTAACACCACATTTGGACATTCCTGCAGCAGAGTTTTTCACTGGTGTTTGCTGTTTCATCTGAACACTTCTAAGAAAAATATTAGAAATTCTGTTTCTGGACGTGTTTGGTTTTCCTCTTCATTTGATTTGGGGGTTTGCATTGCCAAGTTAAGCAATATAAATTTACAGCTTAAAAGTATTTTTTTATTATATTTTTGGATGTTCTTTTTATTATACCCCTGCCTTATATTTGTAATGTACCCACATCATCAGTCCCTAATGTTAAAGCTAGATTAGAGTGGAAAGTGTAGGAGCAGAGCAGACTACCTCTGACTGTCTTTGGTAAAAACAAATGTGCTGCTAATATTGACATGAAATTTGCAGAAAAGTCACCAGGATCTTCATCATGAGGGTGTTTAAGCACTGGAACTGGTACTGGGAGTTGGTGCCCTTTCCATGCTTGGTGGTTTTTGAGAACTGACTGGACAAAGCCCTGATCCTCCAGGGTGACCCCAGGGTGGGCTCTGTTTTGAGCAGGAGGGGTGGGACTGGGACCAGTCTGAATGTGTCTCTGGTTTTAGGGATCCATCCTCTTAGGCCTCTTCCACTGACTGCCCTAAAAATTTCAGAACTTTACATTCTGGCCAAACTGCCTATTCAGTTTATTTTATAGTGACAGTTTGAGCACCAGTGGAAGGGCATTCCTAAGGCTGGGCATGCAGTTTTAAACACTTCATTACAAGTCACAGGGTCAGGGTAATAACAGGCTTTCAGCTGTATTCTCCATAAATACAGCATCCATGTTCCAAATCAGTCTCAGCTTCTTAAACATATTCCCCTGATTTTTGGTAGTCCCTGTCTTATTTAGGATAGACAAAAATGGAATAAACCCATGTGAACATATGGCACTTCTTTTAGCATCCATTCTAAATAATCGTAACTAGTTTGTTAAAGCCACAGATTTAATAAAGATGAAATCTGAAGAGTGTTGGCATTCTCTATTGCTAAAATAATGCGGTTACTTAACGTCTTAATTTTTTATGTGCCAGAGCAGATTACAGCAGAAACAGCGTCCCAAGAAAAGCTCTAAGAAACAGTCAATTTAAACATGCTTTATGATCCTTAATATATAAAGTACGTTCTTAGGAATTCCAAATTTATTAAAACATTTCAGGGTTAAGGAGGGAATCTATGAAAGCACTTACTGAAATTTACACAAGCATGTCTTATCTTTTGTTATGAAAACTGTATTGTAAGCACAGCTTTTTATGTCTCAAGCTGCAAACATTTCTAGCAGTCAAAGTGACCTTTAAATTTATTTTTTAAAAAATATGGTGTTGGTGTTTTCTATTTGAAGCACCAAATAATGTCAGTATTAACTTTCTAGGTATCTTCTCTTTCTCAAGAGATCTACAGCTCAATTCACTGAAGTTCAGCAAATTGCTTAGTGTTAAGTTTTCAATGTCTGTATTTGGAGCTAAAGAAAACAGATCAGTAAAACAAATTCCACCTTCTGAAGGATGATCCAAAGAGCCTGGAAGTCATGGTGGGGACCCAGACCAATTCCCATTGCCAGGGAACAGCAGTATTTGGTCCCAGAACACGACTGGGCTGTCAGGGTTGGGATTCTGACGTGGGTTTGCACTGCTCTGAGCTTGGCTGGTGCTGCCCTGGTGGGTGTGGAGGGGCTGAGTCTGCTCTGGGGCATCCCTGCACCATGAACTGAGCAAGTGGTGTCTTTTCCTGGTCACTGATCCATTCCCCCTAATTTCCATGGCTGTTCTGGGTTCATGCTTGCACAGTGCCTGGCATCCAGGCACATGCCTTTTGTCCAGCTGCTGCTTCTCCCTTGCAGGGCCACGTAGGGGTGACACTTAGCTTTGGCTTCTTTTCAGTTAGACCATGAGCTGTGGGATGGTAATTGTCACTGGAGATTTGTCCTTTCTCATGATCCCACCAACTTCTTCTCTGAGTTGAAAGGGGAACAGATTGCTAATTAAGCATTCACCTTGTGAAATAGTTTCTCCTCTGACTTTACCTTGTAACCCTTACCGTGCAGTCTGGGTGATTGGCTGTAGGTGAATCAATAACTAACTTGTGTATTTTATTATCATTATTTGTTTTCAAACGTATTATTTTCTTTCCTGAAGCCAGGAAGCCAGATCTGAGCTTTTATGAAGCATGCTGCTTTGATTATTGTGTCTCTGGTCACTCTTTCCTAGGGGGTTTTGTTCTGACAGCATTAGTGCTCCAGTACCTCACTGTGAACTTGGATGCACATTCTCGCTGAGAATTCCATTCCACTTTAGAGAGGAGGCCATCATTCTGCTAATGAAAATCATTGTTACAGTGTGGTTTGGTTTTGGTTTTCTTAATTATACTTCAGTTTGCCCTGAGGTTTTACATTAACACTTGGTTAAATGTGTGAAAGCCAGAGTTCAGTACAGTTGGAAGCAATTGCAAAACTTCCACTGACTTGGGTTATATTTGAATTTCAATCCTAAAAAGATGTTGATGTGTGGAGACAATGTCATGCTGGGTGATACGGTGTTTTCCTTTTCAATCACAGCTTCTTAGGACACACAGTCCTCCCACTTAATCACTTTTCAGCCCAAATGTGTTTTGAGTTTTTTATTCCCTCCTCTTTTGATTTATTAAAAATACACGTGCATGTTTTAGTCTGTAATCAATGTTCGGAAAAGTTAATGAATGCTATATGCAGAAAAAGTATTTACTGTAGTTATGTGTGATCACTTCCAGGTCTTAACAGCAAAAGAAAGAAAAACTCAGATAGATGACAGAAATAAATTGACTGAGCATTTCATTATTGCACTTCCCATGCTGCTGTCAAAGGTACAGTTTTCAACAAAATAAGTCTTTCACTGGGATTTCCAGCTGTCTTTAAACTTTTTCATTCTATAGTGCAGGAGTTTATTTTTACTTCCCTGTTTTGTTTTGTTGCCATGATGTTCTAGTATTCCGCTGACGCCGAGAAGGTTGCAAACCTCTTGCAAATCCCTCAGTACTTTGACCTGGAAATCTACAGCACAGGCAGAATGGAAAAGGTATGGTGCCTTGGGCAGGAAGTGTGGTTGCTCTCAGGTGTGATCACTGTTCAGCCCCACAGTGCTGTGGCTTTCTTTGGCGCGTGAGCAATGCAGCCTTGGTTGGGTGCTCTGGCAGTGGCTTTGCTCAGTGTCATTGTCCCATTGAGGGGAAAGCTGAAGTTCTTTTCTACTGTGCAGCATCTGGATGCCTTACTGAAGCAGATTAAGTTTGTTGTGGAAAAGCATGTGGAATCAGATGTTCTGGAAGCCTGCAGCAAAACCTACAGCATCCTCTGCAGTGAGGAATACACCATCCAGAACAGAGTTGACATAGCTCACAGCCAACTTATTGATGAATTTGTGGATCGATTTAACCATTCTGTTGAGGATCTACTGCAGGAGGTTTGTTTTCTTAAAATTATTGAAGTTAACTGCCTAAAATATGCTAGGATAGGCCACAGAAAAACATTCTTAGCAAGCCATGAAATTATCCATCTGAAGACGAACTGCAGCAGCAGCTATTTCATAACTATTTGGAGCTACTTTTCCCTATGGAAAGTCCTTACAGTAACCATTAAGCCTTCAAATCATTGATGAAGACTAAGACTATGGGACAGTCCTGCTTCTGAAAATTTAGTTGAGTGTCTAAACAGTCCACATAAGGAATTAATGGATGGATGGGTGAAAGATAATGGAAAATGCGGAGGAAGTTGTATTTACATTAATGTTTGTAGTGATTCCAGTAGTCCCAAATGTATATGCAGGCAGCAAAATCAAGATTGGATTATGTTTTGAGTAGAAGAGAGGGTTTAAGAAAATATGTATAATGGCATATTAAAAGAGCCCTGGAAAGAGTAAAGATCCAGGTGTGAAACCTGGAGTTACCTGGGATTTAGTTGTAAGAATTTACTCTTCAAAATGCGAAAGACAGAATACATTAAATAAGAATAGAAACTGTACTAATTTTTTCTTCCTTTGAAGCAATTTAACTTTGTATAGCACTACTTAATTTGTTGTAATTTTCATGCTTTTTAAACAAAACATGAGAGCTGCATAAACCTTTTTCTTTCCTTGCAGTCATGCACTGTGCTGTGGCAGATACATTTAATTTTGATGTGCATTTAGAGAAAGTTAAGCTAAGTCCCTGATTTAGAATGGCATATTAAAAAACGCCTTTTTCCTTTTCCTATTTTTTACATAATGTGTTACATACAGGCACACTGTAAATATGCCTTGTCACATTGCAGAGTAAATTAAAATATTTGTATAGCTGCAGAAATGTGCATGAATGAAAAGGCAGCACATGCAGGAAACCTTCCACAACACAGAGGAGATGTGGCACTGTAGTAGTTTGGCAGTTTTTCTTATCTTAGAAAATTGCTGGGAAAATTAGGGTTGGAAATACCTTGTTTTTACTTGTTTCTCTAAGAGAATTTGCTGTTTAGTTTAAAAAAATACTAAAATTATGTTGTAGCATGTTCATCAGCTAGTGATTAAAGCTGGTTGTTCAGTCCTTTTTTGTAAAATAAGCTACAGCTCTGATTTTGGTCTTGGGAATGATTTCTACTCATAGAGGATATGGATATGGGTTTTGGATATTAACACAGTGATAATGCTGAATATTGTTAGATGAGCTTACTTTTTAGTGCTGTGCAGTGGTTACTTAAATATTATGGAGTCTACATAAAAGTCACTGGAAAAGTTGGAGACAGTTTTGATATTGAATTGATATTTTGATATTGATATTGAAAGAAGCTGCTCCTGCCTGTGCAGTAATGTAATGCCTTTGCAGGGAGAAGAAGCTGATGACGATGACATATACAATGTGCTCTCCACACTGAAGAGGTTGACGTCCTTTCACAAGTAGGTGGTGTCTTCCCTCACAGATTTGTGATGCTAATTTTATCCTTTCAGGGAGTATCAGCAGTGTCAGGTGTGGGGAAAGGAGAAAATCACATGGCCTGAAATCTGAAGTGGAGATGAAGGAATGACTGGTGGTTTGTCAGTAGAACTGTTGGGGTTGATCTGTCCTTGCTCAGTTTGTGCCATAACCTTTGCAGATGGGATTTGGAAGTGGCACCCCCTCCCTTGCAGCCAATGCCCTTACACCCATGAGTAAGTTACTAGAGGTCCTGCTCTCCTGCATGGCACAGTCAGAGCACAAGGGACACTTCTCTGTCATTTGTGCTTTGGGGCTCAGCTTAAGAGAGCCTGCAGGAAGCTGTTTCTCAATGCCTTTGAGCTACTTCTCTTTAGCTCAAAAGAGATAAAAAGGTACCAGAATATAGCTAGCTGTAGTGCAGAGGCTGTGCTTTAACAAAGTTTCAGTTGAAAAGCTTTGTGTAACTTGTATAGTTACATAGTGAATTTTTCAGCTCTGGAAGCTGAAGAGCCCTTCCTGAGCTCGGCTGTAAGGCCAGGCTGAGGGCGGGGAGCTGAGTGCCCCCAGCTGTGGGGGCATGGCCCCTGTGCCGGCTGCCTGACAAGGAATTTCTGAACTGAAAAGACAGGAATGAGACAGTTTTTCCTTTCGTATTCTCTGTAGGATAATCTGTGCAGTTATCTGCCTCTGCGCACCAAGGAGACTTTACTGCTTTAATTACAGTGCTGTAATTAAGGAGGTACCACTCTGCCTTGCTGGCAACCCTGTGATTTATTGAAGCATCATCTCTGCTTAATATCACCAGTCAGAGGCAGCTCTCTGGCAGCCTCTAATTTATCTATGAAACATTTTATTTTAGTAGCTCAAAGACCATCTAAATCCACAAAATATGTTTACACTTTTTACATTTTTAGTTCCAATATTTTGTTTTAAGTTTTCCTATTCTTATATTCATGGATTTGAACTGGAAGTTAAGGTGCACCTTGGCTTTAATGGCACAGCCCTGGAGTGCACAGTGCACTCTGATGTGTTTTCTGGGAAGCTCTTACCAGTGACATTTTCCACAGCTAACACACTCCAGCATGGGAGGTGTTTCACGGCAGGGCTTCCAACAGGACCTGGACATTCCCAGTCCTGAGTTCAGTCTCTGTCCCTTTTGGAACTAGAGAGTTATTCCTTCTGGCTGAGCAGGGCAGTTAATGATTTAACCCAGGGCAGGCACAGCCATGGCAGGAGTGAGCTTGGCTGAGTGATCCAGGTGCTGGGATGAATCAGATGCAAAAGGCTGCTGCATCCAGTTGAGACTCCCAATTCAGTCTCAGTATCCCTTCTTCCGGGTGGGTATTTCAGTCAGCAGGTTTATGATTATTCTGAGCTGGCTTGCTCTTTTATAGACATATTATAAACTCTTTCAAATTATCTCAGTTTATTTCCACTGCAGAAAAATGTGTATGGAGAAAGTTTATCTCCCCCCTACAAAAATCTCATGTAATAAAACGTTTTTCCTGGATTATCAGAAAACCTGGTTTGTGCTTTTAGCATGGAATGAGCTGCTGTGCAACTGCTTGGTCAGGTGTAGAAACCACCAAAGCTCTGGGCTGGGGGTTCCAGGAACACAGTTAATCCTTTATTTCCTCTCGTTCCAGTGCTCATGATCTCACCAAATGGGATTTGTTCAGTAACTGCTACAGATTGCTGAGAACTGGAATTGAACACGGAGCTATGCCAGAACAGGTACCCATAACACCTGCACTGCATCACTTGGGTGTCCAAGGTTCTGAAGGGTCTGGTTGTACAGAAATTCAAAAGTTGAATGCACTTCAGTGATGTAGGAAAAACAAACTTGGAATGAAATTTATAGTGGAGTCAAGGGCTGTCTAAGAGGTGGAAAACCTTGGATTCTGTGATTTTTGAGCTCCTTCCCTCACCTTTTTCAGCTGTAAAGTTGGGAATAGCTAATGTTTCTGACTCTGAAAAGCAGTGCATCAATCCTGGTGTTTACACTGAAACCCAACATTGTAAGCCTTGGCTGCAATCAGAATTATCACAAATTATTATTGTGCATTGGAGGTAAGATGAAAGCAAATAAAAACCAGGAAATTAGGACATCCTAGTGGAGTTGTTTTAGTGAACATATCTTGGACTTTGTTCCCCCAGAGTTTTTGTTTCTCATGGATAAGCACAGGCACCATCTTATATTCTCCCATGATTCCTGTTTAAACGGCAGAATTCCTACTTCAGCATTTAAATATATTTTAAGTTTTGATTTGATTTCAGTTAGAAGTCAGTTGTTAATTTTAGCTCAGCTTCATTTAGAGAAAAATAAATTCTCATGAAATTCTAAATCAGAATTTTGTAGAAAGGACCCTAAGAGGAAGCATTGTCACACAGTGTGTGAAAGTCTTTTCTGCAGTTGCTGCTTCGTGCTGGAGTTGTGCTACCTGGAGGGACAGGGCTGGCAGATAAAACCTGTCCATGCAGCTGCCAGCCATTCTCAGTTTCTGGGTCTGACAGTGTGTGGCTCTCCAAATGCCTTCATAAGATCTTAGGGGAAAGGTCCTGAAATCTGAACTCTGTTCAGTATTTCTTCCTGCAGGGATCCCAGAGGAGTTTGGCACTTGTAGCACCTAATTTGCGTTTGAACTGTTCAAGAGACGCCATGGATGCTTTCCTGGGCACCATGGATATGACCCTGGTCTTCTCCATGGGACAAGTTGTATTTTCTCCCTTTTTTTAGCAATTGGACTACATGTTCATTTGACAGTGGAACAGATTTCCAGGCTGTTCAATAGTGAAGCTAGGTTTAGAGGTATTTAAACAGATGCTTTTGACCTGAGAGATGTAGATGTTGGGTTCTACTTCCGTCACGCTGTCACATCCCCTCTTGCTGTACCCTAGTGCACAGTTTTCTGGTGTTTCCCAGCATTTACACAGTTTTTTTTTTTTGCCTCTGGTAGGCTGATTTCTTATTGCACCAAGCCAGCCAAGGAATAACGTGATGCCCTTGAAAAGAAAAAGTTCTAAGAGCTGCTCCTGTCTTTTCACCACAAAATGCATGATAGATTTTCCATACACTGCCTGCTGTCCCTGCTGTTAGCAGCATGCTGAGATTCTGTGTGTTCTTGTGTTACAGATCGTTGTCCAGGCACTGCAGTGTTCCCACTACTCTATTCTCTGGCAGCTGGTGAAAATCACTGAGGGCTCCCCTTCCAAAGTAAGTGGCCATTTGATCATACAGATTTTACTGATAGAACCCAGCTTAGCTAAAGTATTACACCTGATTCCTCTGTAACTTTGAGATAAAAGCAGAAGATTACAAAGCAGAAGACAAGCTGAAAGCAATTGCTTGGTTTCTAGTTAGATACAAATCAGGTAAACTCTGACGGGGAAGGAAAAGGTCATTGGTACCTATAGAGGAGAGGTGAGAGCAGAGAGGTAGTAAGAGAGTTAGGAGGAGAATTAGTGGGGAAGGAAGATAAAAGATTAAAATGGAGAAAATTGATAATATATCATAAAACTAATCTTAAGTCTTTGATTTTCTGTATCCCATAGATTTATGAGTATTTGTTCCCAGGCTCATGTTTCAAAGATGATTTTTTAGCTTTGCCTTGAACAACCAGACTGAGAGATCAGAGATGGAGGGATTGATTTGTAAGAAATGTTAATCTCCTGCCAGCTGGGTCATTTGTTTGGCCTCATGCTGGCAGTAGTAGCTGCTCTGTTTCACGTAGTGAAGTCCCATTTAGGCAGTCAATACACAGGATAAAGTATATGAACATTTTGGAGTTGTAAGTACAGGAATAAAAGATGGAAACAAGTACAAGAATCTTGTTAAGTTTTACATTTGTTCATGTATGCTTTGCATCCATCAGGTGTACCTTTTATTGCAGGGAGTTTGCAGGTGGGATGGGGAATTCTGGTAAGGTTTCCTTCAAAGTGAATTCTCTGGCTACAGTTCAGAATTGCTCAGTATTTTTTGTATCTTGTACTGATTCTGTGGTGGAGTCATACCTGACAACCATAGGCATACACTGGGAACAGAGTTGTTTGGAATTAAGTTATTTTTTGTCTTGTGTTCGGGCATTTCTGTATGAGGAATACCTCATATTACAGCTGTTGGGTATGTTCTGCATCATGGCTCCCTACCTGATCCAGATGTTTTGGACTTGAGCCTCCATGTGTGTGTCAGGGAAAAGCTCAACTCTTGTTTAAGTCTAATTAGGATCAAGTCAGCTTGTTGATTTAGTAACAGTACATAATTGACCTACAGCCAGTGCAGCACATCTCCGGGATAACTTTCAGCTCTACAGAATACAGGACCAGAATATTGGACACTTTTATAATGTTAATGAACACCTACAAATTCCAAGCTTGCTCTTAGCTGCTCACAGGTTACTGAAGATTACCAAGATACACAGAGCTCTTGTTTCTCCAGGCTATTACCAGGGGGTGCTCTGCAGGTTGCCCCTCACTGTTCAATATAATTTGTAAAGAGAGCCAAAGGGAATGTCTTTGATACATTTTTATCATCATAAAAATGTATCAAAGACATTTTAGCAGAAGGGTGATAATTAATGATTATTTGAATTTTTAAGGAAGTCCAAATTCTCTGCCCAATAACAAAGATTTTGTGAGTTACAAACAGCAGAGAGTTGGAGCAGAGTTATTTTGAAACACTTCTTCAAGCTAGCCTGTGGAGAGAAGGGTGTTCTGTGGAGTCATCTTGGTGTCTAAAATCTGAAAAGGAAAAATTGCTTACTGAAAGGAAGGCTGTAGCATGAAAAAATGAAATGTGTAAGACTCAAAATATCCACAGTCTGATGTTTTAACCTTCAGTCTCCCTCTGTTCCATACTCAGTGGAGGCTGAGGCTGTGTGGGCTGTTTGTGCAGACTGGTGCTCTTTGGGGTAACCAGCACTGTACTGGGGGAAGAAAGCTTATCCTCCATGGCTTGTGGGAGCAGCCTGTTGTAGCCTGGAGGAAAACTCCTCCTCAGGTGGAAAGGGGTTTTAGGGTGGTATCACAGGAAGCTGGTAATTTGTCCCCTGGAGTTCTCTCATCTGTCAGTTTGGGGGAGCAAGTACAGTCTTGAGGCAAGAGACTTGGGGATTAGAACATGCACTTGTTTCCAGGTGGATTTCTTCAGCCATGTCCCAGGTACCCAGGACATTGTACTTTGCACTGTATGTGTATGTACTGAGAAGGAAATATTTGCAGAAAAATACAGTCCTAAAACCTAGAATAGTAAAAATAAAGCATAACTAGAGCAAACATTGAGAGGCAAGACAGAGGTCAGCCAGTTGTGAGTAAGCAGCAGCCAGAGCTGCAGCCAAATGCATGGCTATTGGAGTGTGATTAGTGGGCAGAGGACTTAGGAGAGGGGATTTAAGAGATTTAAAGAACAATGTGGTGACTTGGTGACTTTTCATATTTATATGGGCATGATGACAGAAGACACAAAAAGCTGAAGGGAAGAAAAAAGCCACAAGGTGCAAAAGGTTGGACCATTTTCCACAGTCGGGTTGGAAGCTGAGGGTTCTTCAACACTGTGAAGTTAATACTGCAAATAATAAGTACTTTAGAGGAAAAGCAGTGAGCACATACGGAGAAGAGGATGGGGTTTGGGAGATGAGCACAGCAAAAGTACAGCATTTTAAAATTATTTCAGTGGAGAAAGTCAAGCTTTAATTTAAAGCTATAAAGTACCTGAAGAATTGTAGACACGGGTCTTTTGCACACCCTGGTTTGGATTTGGGTGGTGGCACAGACTCCAGTCCTTGCTCTCAGCAGCTTATTCCAGTTCCTGCCATGGAGCAGTTAAATTGCAGAGTTGTGACCCCGTGGTTTTGTCTAACAGCCACAACAGGATGATAACGTGGTTTCATAGCAGCTTTGCTGCTGAAGGCAGATCAGGTACTCACACCTCAAGAGCCTGGGCTGTGCACCCCAGAATGCTCAAAGACTTTGAAATCTAATTCATTTTTTTCTTCCCATTTTCTCTGTTGAAAAAAAATCCCCACTCTTCAGTAGTCTGGGGATTTCTCCATGTTCAGAAGAGTTCCAGATGGCTCCATTGCACTGTTCAGTTGGGCTTTCTCCTGCTGTCTGTAACTTTTCAGTATGAATCTCTATCATGCTATTCTGTCAGGAGAGAGGGTAATAAATTCCATGTACCTGCCTGTTAGTCACTTTGACAGAAAAAAAAATGGGAGACACACTCATTCCCTTTTTAACCTGCATGTAGGTTTTTCCATAGATTTTAGTTTCTCTCTTGAATTCATGAACATCTAAATGGATGGTAATTGTGATTGGAAGTAGAAAGCATGAAAGTGATTGTAACCCCAGTGCTTAAATCAGGTGATTATGTAACAGTGAACTGATAGGCCTGGCATAATCAGTTAGATTCTAGGTAGAATCTTGGAGTGGGAGATAGACAACACAGTTGGTACAAGGCTGAAGGGCCAACAGCTGAGACTGGAAGAAACAGATTAATTTCTTGTTGATAAGATTGCATTTTTGACTGAGAAGAAAACTAATTGAAACACCAGTGTCTGTAAGGCATTGATACTACATTGCATTTCAGGTGCATGTTTGAATTTAATGTAGCTCATATTCAGTAGCTTAAAACTGATCCATATATTAAAGAAAAATTGTAGGTGAGCAATCCTTGCACAGTGGAATAGTTTCTGATGCATTCTGGGAGAGATCTGTTCTCTGCTAAAAAAGGGTCATGTTTGTCAGTCATCTGGGAAGGCCCTGAAAATGGGGATGATACAGATTGATTGGTGAACAAAATACAATTTTAAACTTTTAAAAAGAGGCATCTTAATGGTGCCAAATGGAAGATTTATATCCAGGGAAAAAAGAGAGGTGATTAATGGCAAGCTGTGGGTTAGAACAATCAGAGCTGTCCTACTGATTCTGTAATGGCGGGGTAATGCAGTGGCACCATGGCTGCATCATCAGAGAAAAACTGATCCAGGAATAGGAAGGTGGAGTGCACAGACCTTCAGTGTCCATATCAGCAAATCCCACTCACTCTATTGGAAGTGATGAGAAGTTCAGAGCTTTGGGAACACTCAGGGTGCTTGGGCATGCTGACAGTCCTATCTTGTGCTGTCAACCAGCACAGGGAGAACATATGGACCATAAAAAGGCTCTGCAGTAAACATAGAGCAACAAGAGCTCGTGGCAGGAAACATAAGAAAAGCTAAAACCAGAACTGAGACACATGGGCTGAACAGCCAGCATCATTAAAACATTTCAGAAAGGAAAACACTGCATGTGCATTATGTAGGTTCTTCACATTTACTTGGAGGTTGTTCTGCAGGACATTCTCTCTTCCATGTGGAAGCTGAAAGGGCTACTCTGGAGGAAGGTCTGCAGAGCATGGGCCAACCATTCTGCTGTGAATTCATCACATTCCATTTAATTTGGGGTTCTCATTTTCTTCTCAGTGATTGGTTCTTCATCAGTGTAAAACCAAGGGACAGTTTCTTTGTGTGTTCACTTTGAATAGCTTACTTCTTTCACAGCTTTTTGTTGAATGTATGAAATCATCACCATTTCTTTATTTTGCTTCCTCTGAGAAACCTTTTACTAATTTTTTGATACTTTCTTTTTTAATGCTTTTTTCCAGGAGGACTTGTTGGTATTGAGGAAAACTGTGAAATCCTTCCTGGCTGTCTGCCAGCAGTGTCTATCAAATGTCAACACTCCAGTCAAAGAGCAGGTAAAGAAAATGTCTGTCACACTCTTAGAAAACTGTATGTGTTAAATTGTAGTAAAACTCAAGACAGCGCTACATCAAACTTAAAGCAAAATCATCTGTGTTCCTGTCTAAATAAACCTGAAAAAACAGCCCAGAAAAGCAGCTGTATTAACAGAACTTCCAAAGCACAGCTCATGACAAATTAACTTTTGATTAACAGTAATGAAAGATTATCTGGATGCTCAGGCTCATTTCCAGCCCTTGTGACTTCAGGCATCTAACTCAGTCACCTCAGATGAAAGACTCTTCCTGTAAACACTGGATTAAGAGATGGAAATAGGCACTTTGGGAGGGTGACTGAGACCTCAAATGGGCTGAATCTTTTTAGATTTTTTTCCATTGAATCAGAGGGTTTAGTGAAATAATTAAGTCTGTCTCTGCAGGACACAGTAGCTGGTTTGTTAGCTGAGGTTATGTGAATATACCCTTGATTTATGTCAGTGACATTTTTTTTGTCTACAAATGGCATTTCTATCAGACTTCCCCAGACTTTGTAAAGAACATAACTAATATCTGGCCTGTGTTTTTTGCCTGTGGTATTTAAAAGATAATACTTCTTTAAAGAATTGTATATATAATAAATATATATATTATATATATATATAAAATAAAGTCTTATTTCTTTTAAAGATAGTTCTGCTTCGCATTTACTCTCTGTTCTTCAGTTTGCTAAATATTAAATGCTCAGAGATGTCAGTAGTTTATATATTTCTAAAAGACTTGTGTGTCATTGGCTTCCAGCAGATTTTACTTTAGTAATTGTTTTTTAATATTCAGAGTAGTTACTCTTGGCATATTATATGAATACTTTATGATGTGAAAATATTTTCTAGCTCCATGCAAATACCTCCCTTCCAGCTCAAGCTGGACCTGACATCCTTCCTGCCTCAGCAAATGGCAAATGTTCCTTCCGATGCCTACAGTGGGTTTGTTCTTGGGGGTGTATTAACATGGGCTTGTTCTCTTTCTTGAGAGCCACCATGGTTTTTTCATTGATAATTTAGACTTTTGTTTAGAAAGGCCTTTGCAGTTCCCAGTTGTGGGGACGTTTTGAAGCCTCAGCCAGACAAATCCAAACCCAACCAGACCCAGACAGCAAGTGTCCCAGGCAGAGTAGGCTGGATGGAGACTCCAGGCACCCCTTCCAGCTGACTCTTCTATGATTTGCTCTTGTTTTCTAACTCAAAAAGTATATTTCTATGAGTGCAGGACTGCTACTTATTCCTCTTGTTTTACTGGATTCTTTTTGAGAGTCATGTGCAAATAGTACTGTCTCCCTACCGTACTTGATCCTTACTCCAGACATTCTTCCCAGACAAAGTTGGTGTCCATATTAAAGGAAGGAAAAATGTATGAAGTATTTAGAGAAACAGGATTGAAACATTTCAACTTTTCTATGAGTGTTTGAGGGAAATAAATATCCTGTGACTAAGCCAGCTGCTGCCTTTATATTGGACAGAACTCAGCACCAGCAGTGCATTACTCATCTGCTCTTTTTTAGAGGTCTGCGTTAGGAAGAGCTTCAGTTCCATTGAGTATCAAGCGAGTTTAGAGCAGGTGAGATCATCACTGGAATGAATCACAGCCTTTTGCATCAAGGGGAGAAAAATCCCAAATAGCAACATCTGTTCCTAAGGCCTCAACAGAACATAGTTTACAATGATTTGCATCTGTTCTTGCCTGACTGTAGCTCATTCAGATTTTATAACATACTCCCAAAAATAAGGGAGCCACTAGGAAGTTCAGCATTTACAGATTTTTTTTTATTATTTTTTTTTTAATTTGTAAAGTATTCAGAACCTGAGGTTGAAAATAGAGAAGCTATGAATAAAAAGGCCTCTGAAAGGTGCTGAATGTGATCAAATGCAGACAGCTGGCTGTGAGACCCCAACAAAAGCCATTTGGGAGCAAAACAGTGTTACTGCCATGCAGGAATGAGCCCTTGGAAGACAGGAAGGTAGTGAAGCTGCCTTCTTTTCTGTCTCAGGTGATGAGGGTTTAACAGTAATGAGCATAAATCATGGACAATTCTGCCCGGGTTGGCTTTTGTCTGGATTTGAAAGCTGTGCAGATGAACTTGGTTCTTTTTCGCAAGAGCTGTTGATGAAATTCTGCAAGAATTTCCTTGCTTTGACTGTTTATCCATATTTTTGGGGTCTGACAGTGACTCAGCTTGAATTTTCCCTCAATGCTGTTCATATTTTTACTTGCTTGATTTTTTTTAACTGTTTATCAAAAGAGGTGTCATCTCTTTACTACAAATTTGGCTGCAGGCCTTGGATCAGAGGTACATTTAGAATTCTTTTCATGGAGAAGAAATGGAAGTTTAATATGGGTCATCTGGGACATGGAGAAGGTGATAACCACAGTTCCTAACCTAGGAACCAAAGGCACAGCATTCCAAATTAGAGGAAACCATTATGGAATACTTTTCACAGCACATAAACAACTATACCTGAGAACAGTTTAAGAAGCTGTTTAATAATAGCAGGCAATATCTGGAAATTAGATCAAAGGTATTTTAAGTTTTCCTTACTTGACTTTTCACTGCATTCATTCTTTTTTGCCTTTCAGGCTTTCATGCTGCTCTGTGATCTCCTGATGATTTTTAGTCACCAGCTGATGACGGGAGGTCGAGAAGGGCTCCAGCCTTTGGTGTTCAATCCAGACTCAGGCCTCCAGTCAGAACTTCTCAGTTTTGTGATGGATCATGTGTTTATTGACCAAGATGATGAAAATCAGAGCATGGGTATGTTTAGCTTTTTTTCATAAAAGACACAGAAGAAAGGAGAAAATAGAATTTTCTGATCATTTTGTTCATATGTTTTCAGAAGTATTCCTACTTTAATTTTGGAAGGTTTCTGCTCTGAAGTTTCTTTTATAAGTTGTGGAATATGCCTATATTATATGATAACTATATTTAAGATTTTATCTGTGTAGTTTATTTTTCATTCACAGATGAAGTCTTGCATAGGGACTTAACACTTCTGGCATTGCCATTCAATGTTAATGCTTCTTACAACTGGATTTTACTTCCTGTTGTTCAGAGCCATTGATTTCACATCTGAAAATCCAAGGCATGCTGAAGTACTGGTGCTTCTGATTTTTCTTTTGTTAAATATTTATGGCTTAGTCATGTTAATGGAGCCTCTCTGAATGTCCTGCATTTGAGAAGTTAATCAAGAGCATTCAGCAAGTGTTCACTGTGGCCTTCCACAGGATGTAGGAAATAAATGACTCAGTTCCATGTGGATTATATTCAGGATCTCCTCAGGACTGTGGAGAGCAGCCTTGGTCAGTGGTGTGTCATGTTCCTAAACTTCCCTGGAAGTTTTGAAGTAGGCAGGACCTAAGATTTATCACCTTTATCTCCAACAATCCTGCTTGCTTCATGTTGAAGAATTTATTTTTTTTTTCTAAAAGCTCCCCTTTGATAATGTTGTTTTAGAACTTAACAGTTACTTACAAACATTCTGTTGTTGAAAATGCTTTCAGAGGGAGATGAAGAAGATGAAGCCAACAAAATAGAAGCTTTACATAAGAGAAGAAACCTTCTGGCTGCCTTTAGCAAGCTGATAATTTATGACATTGTGGACATGCATGCAGCAGCAGATATCTTCAAACACTATATGAAGGTACAGGCCGTGCATCCTCCTGTTCTGACTGTGCCCAGTCTGCAGTGTCAGGGCTTCTCCTGCTATCCCTGCCAGGACGGTGGTTACAGCCCAAACACTCCTCAAAGCTTTTTCAGCTTTATTTGATCCTGTGTAGTAGTTTTTCCTTTCTAAATGACACCTGGCACTGAGCAGCAGTGAACAATGACCTCACCCTCTTTGTAGCACATAAGCTTTTTATTTATGACAGCACCAAAAGCTGGTCGTGAGGTGCTGAGTATTTCCAGAGAGGCCCACTCTACAGAGTTTCTTACCCTGCTCCTCAGATTCATCTCTAGAATCCCCAATAAATTACCTGTTCCATGTCATGTTCCACTGTCAGTCTCCCAGGCTTGGTGCTTGCCATGAGGCAGCAGAGCTCTTCTGAGAAGAGGTTGCTTTAAACAGGACAGCAGGGAAGAGAAGCTCTGTATGGTTGTGCTGTAAGTGGGTCTGTGGTAACTGAAGATCTTCTCAACTTTCACTGCTTCCACAGAGCTTTTAGGCCCAGTGAAGGTCAGAGGGACCTCAGCTCCTGCTGCCCCTGTGCATGGGAGTTTTTTACCTGCCCAAACAGGCACCTCAGCAGTCCTGCCACTGACCCCTCAGGTCCTGTCCCTGCAGGGGATTGATCATCACAGAGGTGACAATTCAGGGGGAAGAACTGGAAAACAGAACTGGTCCTTTATCTAGACACTGTTTGAGATGTTGATGTGAAACATAAAGGGTTTAACTTGAAGTTCTCTTCCTGTTCATCAGGCGCACAGAGCACAATAAAATCCCCAGGACACACTGTAGCCATCAGTCAGGGTTAGTCTTGCTTAGGGATTGTTTGCCAGGGTGAGAGTTTGAAACTGGAGCTGTCACCATCCAGGCGAGTTCCCTCCCTGCTGCTCTAGGCTGGGCTTCTCTCCCCATGCCCTTTCTTCTCTTAAAACTGGGGGAGCAGGAGAGGGAGAGAAATTTAATTTAAATTAGTACCAAAGAAGGCAAAAGCAATATTTTAGAGGCAGTAAAAATAGGTGACTACAAACGCAGAGATATTGATGGGGCTGAAAGAACACTGTTGGGAAAAAGAATATATTCTCAGCTTGGAATTTGTAATGATAATACAGCTTTTCTACCCAAATGGGCAGCACCGTAGGCTGTGGCTTTCAGCAACCATTCTGTTAACATAAAGAGAAAGAGGACTCCATGCTGACTCATTCCTTACTCCACTTTCTGGCTTCAGTGAATTCTTTTGCCCTCAGTGTTTGAGGAGCTCACACCTGCCTCTTAAGAAGGTGTTGGATCAATGTCATATTGTTGCTTGGAATTGGCAGCCGTGGATCACCTACATCAAGTGCTTACTTTGGGGCAGGAGATGCTCTTTCATTTGGTTTTTAGCATACTTGTTACAAAAGATAATAAATACAGAAGTTCGCTACCTTATCACAGGGTTCAGTTTAAATTTTCATACTGAAACATTGTCCCTCACTCACACCAAAAATCCACACCAAAAATCTGGATTTGAGCAACTGCTGCCTTTTCAAATCAAGAATTAAAAGTAATCTTTCTCTTGGGAAAACTGTAAGAAATTGTATTAGAGATGTGATTTAATGTTGTTTTTTTCACATTTTTTTTTAGTACTACAATGACTATGGAGATATCATTAAGGAAACCCTGAGCAAAACCAGGCAAATTGATAAAATCCAGTGTGCAAAGACACTCATTCTCAGTTTGCAACAGGTAAGAACATTGATTTTTTTGTTAGAAATGCCTCACTGCAAAAAGCCCTGACCAGGATTTCCTCTGGTGCACTTTACAGGGAAGCCGAAATGCTGCAGTTCCTTAGGACATTTTCTTCATTTACCTGCTCCCCAGTTCAGGCTGTCACTGCTCCTTTGTCTCAGTAATCTCTGTCTCTGTAGGCCCACACTGGCAAAGTTTGGGCACATAAAAATGGAAGGGAGGGAGAGAAGAGCCTTGGAGGCAGTTTGGTCCAAGCTGATTCCTGGCATTTGTTTATTGATCCCGAGTCAACAGGAAGAGTTAGAATGGCTTTTTCTTCTTAGCATTTGCTGAAGTAAAGCATCTTCCTTATACTTTGTCTAAATACTGATGAATTTTTCAAATTTCAAGCTAATTAAGTCTTCCAATAGTGTTAGACATGTTTTTTCCTGGAAAAATTTGCTTTACATCAACTGTAAATTACTGTCTAGTGATGAAATCTATCAGCCAGCAGCACGAAGTGCACTAAATACCACTTAGGCCCTTGAAGTACCAGCTATAGCCATTTCACAGATAAATTACTTTCACTAATTAGATGCTCTCAAATGAGCTGGACCTCCCAAAATTCCTTCCTAAGGTTTTTCCTGTAGCAATCTGGAAGCTGAGAGAGATCTGTGCAAACCTGTGAGATCTGTGAGAAGAACAGATGTACTTCCAGAAGAATCAGGAAGTGTCAAAGCCACTCCTGTCTGTAAAACTTGGAGAGGAGGAAGCAGGTGCCACAGATCAATCAGCCTGACAAAATTCTGTGAAAAAGTAATGAGGAGCTCTTTGCAAGAGCCTCAGTGATAGGTAGCAGCCAGTGTGGATTTGTCAAGGAGGAATCCTGTCAAATTAAGCTGCTGTCATTAATGACATGGTAACAGAGCTTGTGGAGATGAGAGAAACAGTCGCTGTAATGCAGCCTAATTTAATATCACTGGCACTGGCTGCCAGGGTACTCTCAGCAGTTTAAATGGCAGTGCCAGGAGAGGTGGAACTGGCTGGAAAAGCACCGAGCACTCCAGTACTGTGCTGGGAGGGCCTTTGAGGCAGCAGTGCTGGGCAGACAGGGACTGAGGAGGAGCTGAACTTTTGATCGCCAAATTCAAAGCACCTCCTGATCTGATGGGTGATGGAGGTGCTTAAGAGAACAGCACGAGAATGCAGGACCTTCTTGATGAGTTGGGGGAATAATAGATGGGATTCAGGGAAGGTGGGTGCAGAATTCCACCCAAACAACTCCACACAAGTACAAGATGGGGGACAGCTGGCAAACAGCAGTGGGGCAGAAGAAATTCTAGCAAGTGACAGGGACTATGTTATGTCTCTTCACAAAGAGACAGTCACAAAGGCCATTCTCAGATGGAAAAGGTTTAGAGCTCAAGTCTTTCTCAATAAAAGTGTCTCACAGATATCAACCTCTGAACTCTCTCTGCAGCTGTTCAATGAGCTTGTTCAGGAGCAAGGTCCCAACCTGGACAGGACATCTGCCCACGTCAGTGGCATTAAGGAGCTGGCCAGGCGGTTTGCCCTCACTTTTGGCTTGGATCAGATCAAGACAAGAGAGGCTGTGGCCACACTACACAAGTGAGTGGTGGTAAATAAACTAGATTTTTATACTAGTTCAGATTGAACTTCTTGTTTGGCATTCCCTTTCTAAAAGCACATAATCTCAACAGGTCATGGAATAATTATATATTTTTTTCTACTTTTAACTGGAGGGGTCTATATGTATGTAGGTAGAAAGGAAACAAACTAGCTGCTACCTTATTATTTCTTGGAATTTACTGACACGGCTATGTTTGTTTATCTCAGGTGGGTTGTGTCTAACAACTGAGGATGGTTCTTTGTTCCACACCACTGTGGATTCTGGAGGAACCAAGGGCTTTTATAAAAAGATACTCCAAAAATATTTTGGAAATCATTTAAAGTGGACTGGAACTTTTTATGCAGCTGCTGCATAGAAAAGTGTGGAAAGGTTCTGGTAAATTTAAATTACAACTTTGCCATAGAAAATTCAGGTGCTAAGGTCTGCAGTCTCAGAGACCCAGCTGGCTCGGTCAGGATGCACCAGATACTGTCCTTAGCAAGGCAGGAGTCAGGGGACACTCGTGCCTTGCTGGGTGAGGGAAGGGAGAGTGTTCTTTTTAGTCCCAGATGACGAAGCAGAGCCCAGTGTGTCCCTGCTCTGGGGACTCAGTTCTCTGCTCTGGCTGCAGAGGTTGGCTCCTGTTTGATCTGACACATTCCATGGAACTTCTGCCCCTGGGCTGCACCTGCCCAGTTCCCACACTGGGCAAGTACTCTCTTACAGGGACTGGCCATGTGTTTATCTGAATGGGGGCTTCACAGATCCACAGGGAACTCTGCATTCCCCTTTGTCCAAAAGCAGCTGTTTGCTAGTAGTGGGGAACAAGGTTGTAATGGGATCTGAGGGTACAAACAGTTTCATCACAGCTCAGATTTGGGGCAACTTGTTTGGTTTCCAAGTTGGCTTTTTTTGCTTGCTTTTTTGGTGTTTTGGGGTGGGTTTTTTTTGTTTTCTGTTGCAAATGTCTGAACATGTTAATATTTCTGTACTATAGAGATGGCATAGAGTTTGCCTTCAAATACCAGAATCAGAAGGGACAAGACTATCCACCTCCTAACCTTGCTTTCCTGGAAGTGCTTAGTGAATTTTCTTCCAAACTCCTGCGACAGGACAAAAAGACTGTGTAAGTAATGCTCCGTTTTCTTTCTCGGCCTCTGTTAATCCCTGCAGTGTGGGTTTCAGCTCTTTCCTTTGAGGTTTCTACAATTAACCACGGCTGCAGAAAGTCCCTTTGAGACATTTCACATATATACTTTCTTGTCCTTTATGTCTTAAAGTAATAAAAATAAATGGGAAAAGAAAAATCAGACCCACTAATGAGGTGAATTTGCGATATTCCAAAACAATGTTTAAAATTTCTAATGGGGTGTTGAAAATAAAAAGTCTTTTTTTAGGCTAGAAGAAAAGAAATTAAACATTAGCAGTGCAGGGAATTTACAGGCTGTCACTACTACCGTAACAGCTGTTTCCATCGTATATTTACATAAATTGTAAACCTATACTTGTTCCTTTTAATATATTGGAAGAGGACTCCATTCAAACATCAACCAAGCACTATGTGCCCAGTGTGGAACTGAATTCACTGGATAACTTTATGACCAGTTTAAAAGTGCAGTTGCCAGGTCTGCTGATTTATGATTGTAGGTGTCTTTCCAGTCAGTTCTGTGACCACACTGAGTGTTAGTCAGAAAGATCAACTGGAATGACCTCAACTGACTCTGTCAGACCTTGCTGTGAAGATTTGACAGATGTTTTTCTGTAAAGACATTTCTTTTCTGTTAGGGTTAACAACTATGAACATTACAGCTTTATCTGTTCAGTAAGAAATGCAGCTTGGTTAACTTTGTATATTTTTTAATGTGTACACACTTGAACCAATTTCATTTTTTCATTGTATTAATAATTTCTCAATTCAGCAAACATTGTAAGACAAATAGGTACATGAGCTAGGGAATGGGATGATCCAGTTAGGCTGTCTTGGCATTCCATTTGTACATCCGCTCTTCTTTGTTATATCCTGGAATCTTGTCAGCCTCTATCCTGTTCTTCAGGACAGAAATTAAGGATAACAGGATTTTATAGCTTGTCTTCCTAGCTGAACAGTAGATTCTCCTGCATGATGGTCTCAGTGCCACTGGCCTGTTTCGTGTTGAATTTAGTGAAGTTTAGCCTTTCCAGCAGAGTCATCCCTTCCACAAGTTTCCAGTGTCTGATATTTAAAGTTACATCATGCTGTCCCTTACAGCTTCTGTTAACCTGAGCCTTCAAGTGAAATTCAGTTCTTTGGGACATTTTGTTCCGTCACCTTGTTGCCATTTAAATTCTTTCTTAAAGGTTCCCCTGCCCACATATACAGCTGCATGCTGCTCCTGCAGGACTATAAGGATTGCTGTGGTGGAGTATCTATACCTGAGCTATTGACCTCAGCTGAATCTGATGATCATGAAAAGAAATAGGTCCTTTATGGCCTGATCTCTCTGATCTGTGCCAGACTCTGTGTTGGGATGAGTTCAGCCCTGCCCCAGACCCTACAGGCTGTGGTGACCATGACACAACTTGCTGACATGTAGGGATTCTGTGGAAGTGGCTCCACTCCTGCCCAGAGTGCTCCACTGACAGGACAGGACTGGGATGCTGGATTTGCCCTTTCCTGAAGCTCCTCCAATCCATAGGGACCTCTCTCCCACCACAGGGGCTGCCTGTGTGCAGGAAGGTCCATGACCACCATCTGCTGGAGAAGTCCCATTTTTGGGATCACTTCCCTCCCTGCCCAGAGGCCCTCCCCAAACTCAGCAATGGCCTCTTATTTGCAGCCAGAAGTATCCTGGAGCCCCCAGTCTCAGGAACACGTGGATGCCCACGTTCTCTAGTTTGGCTTCCCTGCCTCAACCCCCAAATCATCCACCCCAGAGCCTGCAGGTATTGGGGCATTGCTCCAGAACACCCTTCCTGGCAGGGTCCAGCAGACGCTGCTGTTCCACAGGGCTGCTGCTTCCTTCTGCTGGGCTGCTGGTTTTTTTCTTTGGGGCTAGAAAAGGGAGAATCTTCCAGTTTGAGAGTGAAGCAGCAACATTGATTTAATTTAATTTTCCTAGCCTGTTAATAGTGTTACTCATTTTATGAGTAACTTCAGAACTGTGATAGCCATTTATGGATTTATTCTAATCTATGGATTTCACATAAAGCTGTTCGTGTAAGGTGCCAGACTCGTACAGCTGGAGAAAAAAAAAAAATTGTACTAACACCGTTACAAACCCATTAAGGCAGATACAGGCAGGGAAATCCTGAGGAACTAATGCAGGACAGAATAGAGGAGATTGTCCTTGGAGGCACTTACTTCAATTTATTTATCTCAAAGATACAGTTGACTTAGTCTGGATACTGACTAGTGAGTATCAGGTGAGTCAGAGCCTCAGCATAGTGTTCTCACTTCTGGAAATTCAGAACTGATAAGAACTGCCAGTGTGAAGCTCCCCCAGAATGCTGAGCAGAAGATGTCTCAAGTTTGGCATCCGGGCAGGAAAGAGCTCCCAAGTGGTCTCATATTCATCCTTCACTATTTGACCATAAACATGCAATCTGGTTCTATAAATACAAACTGGAGGCAGAAAAACTTCTTATTAAGAAGACTCTTCTGCAGGTAGGTTCTCTAAAGCCGTGAAGCACTCAAGTGGCACAATTTGGTACCATAAAATAGGGAATACACAAAGAATTTCCCATTACTGCCAGGTTTGGGAGTTAATATACACATGAAAAAGGGAAGGAGGAAACATTGACAATATTCAATAAAACAGCAGACAGGAACCTGCTGTTTCTTGAACAAAGTTACATCATTCATTGAATCAAAAAACTGATGTGATTGTTACCCTGGCATGAGCAGTGTGTTCTGGAGCCTGTTCTGGAGCAAGCTCCAAGCTGCCATGAGCTAATAGAGGAAATCCCTGCTTTTCCAAGTGGAATATGTGAAGCTGACTCCCACTGCTGCCAACCTGGCGAAGTGGTATTAAAGGAAATTGTGACTGAGGGGTGCAGGAAGTGATGCTGAAGTACCTGAGTTCTCTTACCAAACTTCTGAATGTTTGGAGCCGGAAACATACTAGAATTACATTTAAGTAGATTTGCATGTTCATTTTAGAGGTGACTTCTAAATTCATAATTAAATAATCAATGGAAAGAGAAAACAGTTCCTATGGCCTCCAGACCAGGAAGGAGTTGTTGACTCCTCTTTTCAGTTAACACTTGTGCATTGGACTTCTCATGGCAGTGGACCAGGTCTTCAAATTTTTTATGGAAAAATAAATGCTTGCATTTGACTAACCCATTTCTCTTGTTCCAGGATGCCAAAGGACATCCTGCATCCTGGCAGCAGCGGCTCTGATGCAGCCTGGCTGCTGACACAGTGACCATATCCAGGTGTCTGTGGGGAGATTGCTGCTCCTCTGTACTCCCTGTATTTCTTTTCCAGGCACACCTACTTGGAGAAGTTCCTGACAGAGCAGATGATGGAGAGAAGAGAGGATGTTTGGCTGCCGCTGATCTCGTACCGGAACTCGCTGGTGACAGGTGGCGAGGACGACAGGATGTCTGTGAACAGCGGCAGCAGCAGCAGCAAGGCCTCCTCCGTGAGGAACAAGAAGGGCCGACCCCCCCTCCACAAAAAGAGAGTGGAAGGTTAGTGAGGGGGTGCAGGGCTTTGTCATTCTGGACACTCAGGAGAGAGGGATTTACTATTTAATTTAAAATTTACAATTTTAGTTCATGCAGAAATAGGTGATACATTCTGGATGTGGCCAGAACCAAGGCAGCTGTTGTACAGATTCTGTCAGGCCTGGGCATGTCTTTAGGGGAAATACCACCACAGCTCCCTGTTCTTGTTTGTCTTGTCCAAAATTGGCAGTCAGAACTGTTTAGTTCCATTATGCTGGTGGAAGAGGTGTTTGTGAAGTTACCTGCTCTTTCTCACTCCTGGATTGCTGGGATTCTGCCTGTGCTTCCCTCTGGGCAGTTGTTAATTCTCAGGGATTTGGAGCAGATTGCAGGCAGAAATTCTGGTAACAGATCTCTGTTGTTGCAGAGCCATTAGGGAACATTAAAAAGACACCATTTTTGTTTAAAATTGTATTGCTATCTAGTGTTCTCTGCATTTACTCTTTCTGGGGCCTCCAATATGTTCATCAGGAATCTGGCTGTGATAGCAAATTTCTTACAAGGCTGCATCTGTTCCTGGTCAATCTGTACAGGTGATGTAGTGTGGACTTTTGTGAATACTAATTTATTGTTCCACTATGCAGTAGATGTGAGTAGGATTTAAACTTCAAAAGCTTTTCCAAGGTCAGTATCTATGACAGTAACCCCTCAGTAAGGAATCTAGTGCCCATTTGCCTGAATATACAGCAATTTCCCAAAATATTCCTCAAAAGTTTGCCCATACAGCCAGGTCCATTCTCCACTGTGGTTTATGTTGAGCAGTCCCTGCACCAAGTCCTTTGATTTCTCACAGCCAGCCTCGAGTGTAGGTACATAAAACACTGGCTTCTTTCTTCAGGCACTGTTTTTCTTCTTTCAGGATGCCAAGATTTTCACAGAATTCAGTTACTGAGGTTTTCTTCTTTCCTCTTGTTGCCATTTTCATTCTATTGTATTTCTTTTTTTTTTTTTTTTTTTTTACCCTGGGAGGTGTAGTAGCATCTTTGCTTCCCAGTAAGGCAAATCTCAGTACTAAGATGCAGTTTTTAGGCTTTGCTTACCTCATACTCTTTTGTGTCACCCTCTTTCAGTGATCAATAGAAGGGAGAATTGATTTCCAACACTTCCCATTTGAGAATCTCCTTTTTTTCTGTTTCTTTAATTTCCACTCTAAAAGATCTAGAACAGGAGAAAGGTCACTGCAGAAACTACTGTGGCATCTAAGAACCATATCCAGTCACTTCTGGTTCTTTTCTCACCTAAATCCAGCACAGACCAGCTTGGAGAACATTCCCTCTTGCTTCTGAGAGGAAATGTGCTCTGTGACATTTCTTGACAATTCCTTAAGAAAATCAATAGGTTTTTAAAAAATAATCCCTAATACAAAAATGATTCAAAAATAAATTTACAAAATAGACAGCTTTTCAGACAACATTTATGCCTAAAGGGTAGTAAAAGGCAATAGAAGAATGAACAGATCCAAAGAGATCCCCATCTACTTTTCTCACCACACATTTCCTGTTAGTAAATCTGTGATCTTGTCATCTCTGTTGTCATCTCCTGTCTTTCACTCCAGTAACTGTATTTTTCCTATGTGTCTCTGGCTGCACTCTTCCTGCTCTAACTCATTCTCAAGTCCTCCCTCTTCCCTCCTCTCTGCTTTGCTCCCTTCCCAACATAAGCACAGGATCCCAGCTAGACCTTCAGTCATCTTTATCTTATTTTTATCACTGAGTAAAGTGTCCCCTTCCTACTCCAATCCAGTGGTTCTGACAATTCTAAAGATCTGGACTGACCAGATTTTGGGGTTTGTGCTCCACATTGTCTTAGTGTTTAACTGTATCTTGGTTGCTATAGGTGCATGAGATTAACAGTCTCCAATTATAAACTCAGGAACTGGGAATTACCTTGGTTGTTTACGTTCAAGATACCCAGCAGTTGAGGCTGTGCTGCAGTATGACTTTGTTTGCAATGGGGTTTGTGTTTGTTCCCTTTAAATTGTTGTTATTGCTGGGAATAGGGGGTAATAATACTTAAAAGAACAGAATCTAAAATCAGAACTGAAAATCTTATCATTCCAAGCATTTATCCAAGTGATCCCTTAGTGCACACTTGTTTGAATACTGCCCTGCATGTGATCAGAAATTAGCAGTGATTTCAGTGTTCTCTCTCTAGATGAGAGCCTGGAAGGCTCCTGGCTGAACAGGAATGAGAACATCCATACTCCAGGGGCACTGCAGGCACCTCAGCTCACCTCCACTGTCCTGAGAGAGAACACCAGACAAATGGGAGAGCAGATCCAGGAGCATGAGTCGGAGCAGGGATCTGAACAGGATTTTTTACACAAGTAAGTTGGAATTTCAGCATCAAATACAGTCAGCCAGGCAAAGGAATTGCTTGTGATTTATAGTGATATTCTTAGCCTGTGGCTTCAGAGATGCAGTGTTGATTTGCAAAGCCACCTGGAAATGCCTTGACTACATCTCAGCAATACTTGGATTATCTTCAGGTTTCAGGAAAAATATGTTGTAATGAAATAGTTTTAACATAAGGAACTTATACTATTATCTCAGAACATAGCCATGCAGTTCTGGTTAAATCCTCCTAGTCCTTGTGTCCCAACTGGGTGGAACTGTTTCTTTGAAAGATGTGTAGATACTCTCTTTTCTTTCCCCCTTCCTGATAGCAGAGTTAAGGTTCTCCTGACACCCTGACTAATTCCTTCTGGATTTCCAGCTGCTGTGCTAGTAATTCCTGATTTGGGTAATTGCCCTAAATTATATATTCTTTTTGTCCCTTTGCTCCCATTTTATCACCTCCATTTAGAGAGAAAACATTGGTTGGTTTCTGTCAGTGGTTGCGTGGCTGTGGGTGTTTGCAGCAGGTGTTGCCAGGATGCAGCAGGTGAGCACAGGCTGGTTGTGGGTCACAGGTTGGTGACCCTGGCTGGACACAGCAGCACAGCCCAGGCAGAGCCCAGGTCACATCTTCCCAGAGCATCTTTCCTCCTTGGTCCCATGGCTAGGGAGGGCTGCACTCATGGCTCCTACTTGCCTTTCTGAGGTCAAGGATTTACCTCCTATCTCCTGCCTTCCCAGGTGGGGCCATAACTTCAGGTGATGAGGAAGATGTTGAGGCTTTCAGTTTCTCCTTAAGAATTTTCTACTCTGCAGTAAGACCAGACTAAACTTAGAACTTCCTTTCTGTCCCTCTTTGATCCCACCCTTGGCCCAGCTGAGTCTCTGTGACCATTCCATTACTCTGGAAGTGGGACAGCTTCCCAGTGCTGTGGTTTCCTCTCAAGCCTGATGAGCAGCCGGCCTTAAGCTGTGTGAGACCCTTCCGTGTTCCTGGGGAAGCTGAGCAGGCTCTTGCCCAGCACTCGAGCCCCCTTTGTCTTAGGCTGTGCTGTGAACACAGAACGGTGAGCCAGGGCAGAGAGCACCTCTCCTCTCCCTGCAAGAGTGGGATTCCAGGTTGGAGTTCCCAGTGTGAACTGACAGTAGGGAATGGGAACCCTTCCTGTTCAGCCCTGGTTGGTTGTCACATGTCCTCCAGGTCAGCTTAGGAGAGCTAACACTTGCCACAGCTACAGAGCTGCTTGAACTGACAGGTTAATCATATTCAGGTTTGGTTCTAGGCTGTTTTCCCATGGGTTATCCCAGTTTATCCTGTCAGTCTTATTAGGGTGCAAGGGTGCATAGTACAATAAAACCTAGTGCTGCTCCAGAAGAGCTGCACACAGTTTGCTGCTGTTTCCTTGTGCTGCACCACACAAACTGAAGCAGAGGCATTGTTGGTTGATGGCATCAGCAGTGCAGCCTGGAAGGTATTTACACATGGGTGAGGTACTGGCCCTTAAGTTGATCAGGGTATTAGTGTAAAAAAGATCTGATTTTCACATTGTGTGACATTTTTGTCAGTTACTATTTTGAATCCATTCTTGGTCATATTTTGCCTCATCTGACACAGTGAAGTACTATTTAATAATAATAAACTTTAGAGGCGCTCCTGCTCCAGGTGCCTGCCCCTAATGAAGGAACAATGTCAGTGTTTCCATACCTGCTTTCATTGCAACAGTTAATTGATTTTTTTTGTGCACATACAGTGAGAGGAGACAGACTCTGGAAGGGAATCCAGAAGATGGGTACAATGATGGATGGAAGTTAATTATCCTAATCTGGAGCATGACCAGACACAGAACTTGGAGAGAGAAACTGCCCCAAAATAGGCAGCTCAGAACTGTTACTGCTGTCGGTCCTAACTTACTCCCTGTGTGTCAGTCCCCAGATGCAGATCTCGTGGCTGGGCCAGCAGAAGCTGGAGGATCTCAGTCGAAAGGACAGGACAGGAATGAACTACATGAAAGGCAGAAGTGGCGTAAGGCACGCAGTGTAAGTGCTCACAGCCTGCTGCCTTCAGCAGAACCATGTGCAGGACAGCACAGTGAAATGTTACCTTTCCTGCTGGTTGCAAATAATTTCTGTGCCGTGTCACCCTCGTGGTAAAGGCAGGGGGACAGTTTGTATTGCTGGGATGGCTCCAGCCCAGAACTGCCATTCTCTGTGGCCAGACACCAGGCCCAGTTACAGGGTGCAGTTCCCCATGCCTCTGTCCCAGCCTTCAGCTGCTTCCATGTCAGAGGGGTTCCATGATTTGTGTGCTGTGTAATTCCCTGTGAACTCTGCCCACGAGCCTGTTCCTGTGTCTGTGCTCTCCATCCTTTTTTTGCCAAGGTGTCCCCCTGTGCAGTAATGGAGGAAATACACATGGGTGAACACTGGGGCACCACATGCTCTGTGCTGATCCCACTGAATCCTTCAGCAGTGGGGCTGGAATCCTTACAGCCTTCGGAACAGGGCTTGAAGGCACTGCTGCAGTCTCAGGGTTTTACCAGTGATCCTGGCAAACAGTGTCACTCCTCCTTGGTAAAATGGCAGGCAAACACAAGAGGAGTTACTGCCCTGTTCTTGTTGGGGACAACTTTAACTACTGGTCATAGTGCTGTCAGTGGGACTTGCTGCTTTAGCCTGGGCCAGGGCTTGGGGGAGGGGAGTTTATGTGCAATTTTCCTCCTGTTGGTATTACAGAGAGCCTGTTGGCTTTACCCTCAGCATCAGGGTTTGAGTGAAGGCATTAAATGATAGGATTTGAGCATTCTTTTCAATGACAAAGATCAAGGCTGGAAGTTTTTCTGTCTGAAAATTACTCTCTCTTTATTTAATCAGACGAGGTCTAATGGAAGATGACGCTGAGCCCATCTTTGAAGATGTAATGATGTCCTCACGAGGCCAGCTAGAGGACATGAATGAAGAATTTGAGGACACAATGGTCATTGATCTGGTCAGTAAATCTTATCAATGGCAATTTAAAACAGTTAAAAGCTAATTTTAAAGGAATTTTAGAAGTGTAAACAAAAATTTTCAGAATTTTGAGCCTGGTCTCCGGTTGTCTGAATGTTAGAGTGAAAATGATGTGAGCACTTCCCAGAGCCTCCAGCTGCAGGCTCAAGCCCCGTGGGTTTGTTCCATAGCCACACAAGAAGCATTGCTTTGTGCTCCTTCTCCCCAAGACTCTGTTCTTGGGCAGCTGCAGGCAGCAGCAGCATCACACACCTGTGACTTGTCAGCCTGCAAGAATCAGGTTATGAGTTACAGGCTGTGCTAACACAGCTCTTTATGCAGCCACAATGTGTCAGACTGGCACAGCCAAGGGGTCCCTCTCTTTCCCTTTCCTGGTTAGTTTGATTTTGGAGGTGGGCTGGACAGGGGATCCTTACTTGAGGTCTCAGTGGGGCACAGCTAGAGTCCTGCTGGCACAGCGGGAGGGAGCACAGGCACTGGTGTGTGGGTGGGAGTTTCTTCAACAGGAATTGCTCCCAAACAGGTCCCATTATCAGTGGCAGCCTCAGTCCCTTCCAGTACTGCGCTGACTGCTGGGAGAAGTTCCTTGCAGCACTTAGAACCTTACCTGGCCTCCCCTCTGGAATGACTGCTCCCTTGTAAAATGGGATAAAGGAGCAGTTTGCTTTAAACACCTCACCATTTTTATGCCTTTCTGTTTCTCCTTTCACATCCAAACAAGAAGCCCTAGATTATATTAGGACTGGGCTACAGTCTCTTGGGAAAGGCTACCGCATACTCAGGTTATTGCCAGCACTCATGTGATTACCAAGTAAGTAACATCCAAGGAAAGGAAAGAATTGATTGAGCTGGTGATGCTTACATTTACTCTTGTGCTCCTGGGGAAGGAAACCATCAAGGGTTTAAGCCTCAGAAATATTTCAGTATCTTCAGTACCCTTTTTATTGGTACATCCATTTTTGACCACGTCAGAGTTCAAGTTTCACTATGAACTTTAAAGTATAAAGACAGTTAAGAGGGAGTTTCTGTGCAGTCTGGCCTAGTCCCAATACAGAAACATCCTTAAGTCAGCAAGAGCCTTGGGCAAGTCCTTAACTGAGAGTTAGAATTAGGATCCCTCAGCTTTTACCCCATTCTTTCAATAACAAAGAATTGAGGGAGTGCTGTCCTGTCAGGGCCCACCTTTGCCCCAGAGGTTTTGTGGCACTGGGAGGGAAGGTGAGGGCAGGCACAGGTGGCCCTGTGGCCGGCAGGGCTCCCTGTGCCCCGTGCTGTTCCAACTCCCGTTGTTGCAGCCGCCGTCGCGGAACCGGCGTGAGCGCGCGGAGCTGCGGCCGGACTTCTTTGACTCGGCAGCGATCATCGAGGACGATTCAGTAAGGCCTGCCTTGTTGTGCTTGCTTTCAGCTCTGCTCTTGTCCCAGCCCACATAACCGCTGTCTTTTCCCCCCTTTTCCAGGGATTTGGCATGCCCATGTTCTGAAGTCTGGCGAAGACCTTTTACAAACTTGGAACTCTATTGTTTAGAGCTAGAGGCCTATATACTGTGATAGCTTGTATGAAAACCACATTTTTGATGTGATACGGTTTGATTTTTAACCAAATGATTGAGGTCAACCCCTTGGTGTAGGGACGGAGAGAAGAGGAGCTTCTTAATGACACACGGGAATGTTGGCCAATCCAGTCACCTCAGAAGGGCTGACCTAAAAAATCATTTGTATCCCTGTTCTTGACTGTCCTAATACGGATTTTTTTTTTTTCTGTATGAGGAGGAAGTTTTAAATTGTTAAGACAGCTGTCAAAATAAACACTGTTCTACATATGTTTTCTGAAAACAACATTGAGTGAAAACAGAACTTTTTAACTTTATTTTTCTGCTGTACAATTTAAAACAGTTTTAACATTTGCCTTTTTATGTTTTCAAAGCTAGCCATTTTTATTAAACCTATGCCTATCAGCCACTGACTAGCAAGGCTGCTGTAAGCAGGTCGTTCTGGCTACGGAAAAGTGTTTTGGAACACACTGGATTTGATTAACATTATGGTACGCTTATGTCCTCTCATAGGCATGGAGAAGAACACTCTCAGAGAAGAGGTTAGAATTCTAATGATGTGCATCTCTGCCAAAAAATTTCAGATTCTGATATGATAAACCCAGATTTTATACTCTTGAGAAGATTTATTTTTATTTATAATGGGACATAAAGTAAGAGATGTCCATGAAGCCACTTTTCCAACAGATGCTGTGTAACATTCATTTTATATAGCACATGGGGACACAAAAACAGTAAATTTTCTATTGGTACTTGCTCTGTGCATTTTTAGCAACTTATACCAGCAAATAAAGTATTCTCAGTAAAACACACAAACGGTTCTCAAGTAATCACTTTGCTGTTTTTACTACCTACTTCAAGCCTGCCACCACAAGGTACATAAACAGCAACTTTCCTATTAAAAAAAAAAAAAAATAGTTCAAGGGTGGGGGAAAGGATCACTTTAGCATACTAAAAGTAATTTTAACTGTACCATAAAACAGAGTCTACTTTCCATGCCGTAAATACCCTTTTCTGCTATTTTTGTAAATTAATTTTGCCAGTTAGAAGTACTGTATGTGCTGCATAGAAATTTGTGCTTAGATGGTGAAGTTCTTAAGCTTACAATGGAATACAGCTACATTTTCAGTGTTAACTGTGCATATTGAGAGTAATTCTTTGGAAAAAAAAATATGATTTTTCAAAAAAGCTAAAAACATCAAAAAAAAATTCCAAAAAACCCCCAAAACATTCTCAGCTAATTCATTGTACTAAGATATTTTTCAACATCTTCAATAATTTGGAATTTCATTATGCTTCGATTTTATGACTCGACATAGTAGCTGCTCCTTACCCAGCCTGGCCTGGCACCAGCAGTGCTGGCCTTCCACAGCTCCAGATCTCCAACAATTGGCCCCAAAACCTTCATCTTTCTGTGCTCAGTAGCAGTTGAGATACAAAGCAGATTGACCCACTTGGAGCACAGCAGTTTCAGAGGTGCTTTAGATTTAGCAGCTGCAGAATAATCACAGAGCTTTTTTCTGTTTCAAGCTTACTGGACACCAGCCCAACCCCTCAGTGCCCAGCATGGGCAGGGAAAGAGCCCAAATTCACCCAGCCCAGCACCTCACCCAGCTGAGCTTGGCTCTCACAACACGTGCAGTTCTCAGACACGGTTGCCAAAAATGTTTGACCAGGTAATTCAGCCATTCCTTAGTGTGGGTTGGGGATGTATTGATCCCAAGAAGTAGCTGGAACTTTATAAACCCTCTTACCTCCTTCTGTGCACCCCCACGGCCTGGGGGCAGGAATGGCTGCAGGACCTGTCCCAGGATCACTCTGTGAGCATGGTGGCACAACAGATGCTGCCCAGTTTGAGTCAGAGTCTCAGACAAACCTTGTGCTTCACAGTCCTCTGTGTGGAAAACTGATTCCTAATTTAACATTGTAGAATACTGTATAACAAACATTTATTATCATGGTACCTGCAATGGGTCTCCAGTTCAGTTTGCAGTCAATAGGTTTTTGTATTATGAGTGTCTCCTTGATTGGTTTTGCTAGTAATTCTGTAAATTGTACATTTACAATATGAGGTTTTTTTTTTTCCTTTTGTACAATTTAAAACTGATGCTTCACCTTTCATTTAATAAACTATTCAAAATCATGAGTATGATGAGCACCCTCTTCACTATAGTTTTCTTTTAAGTGCTTGTTTGGACCATCACATTTTGTCATCCCATTTAGTAGTAGGAATTCAAGGAATTATTAAAGGCAAAACTGACAGGTAGCTTTCATGTAGTCTAGGCTTCACAGCCAGACCTGTACCCACTCCCTTACCCACTCAGCCTCAAGAGGGATGGAGACCCTCTCTGGGCTTCTTCCCTCCACCGTGCTGTGGTTTAGTTGTGGGGGGTAGAGGGTGGTTAACATGAAATTGCTGTGAATCTGGAAAGGGCCCACACCAGGTGCAAATGCCACACTACTAAAACTTAGAATATCTTGAACTGCCACAAGGTTTGAGAAGAATTTCTCTCTTCTGCCCTATTCGTCTGAAGTGACCTGGAATCTCTGGGAAGAAACTGCCATGGGAAAGGCTTGAAAGCTCTAACAACCAGCTGGGCTAAATGAAGTTTCACAGGTTCCTGAAACAAAATGTCCATGTTACTCCCATGTCTCAAGGAGCAAGGTGCTATTTTTGTCCAACCCATGAATGATTTAATCTCTGTAGTGCTAAAGAAAACTGGTTTATCACCTGTCCCACTTCCTAAGGAAAAATCACTGGAGTCAGGAAAAGGTGCAAGATGCAGCAGCTGAGGCACATGGATGATTCAAAGTCTCAACTACTCCCAAGACAGAGCCTCAAAGCTCAGTCTCCAAATGCTTGTAAGTTATGGCAACTCCTGCTGCATGAGGAGCACAGTAAGTACCTTGCCTTGCTGCTAAGTTCAAGGGCTGTGCGCTGTTGACAGGATTTTATTTTGTACCTCTTGTTTTTTTTAGGTGGCTGGACTTTGAGGAGATTCTCAGAAGCCTGATGAGAGCAGCTTTCAAGCCTGTTTCCAACATGTCCTGGTACAGCAACTGCCTGTTTGGAAATGGAGAGGACTTAAAAACCCAATTCTTCTGCTGGCAAGGGCTGGGAGAGAGGATGGAGTCTGTAGCAATACTGAGGATAGGAAACAACTAATAAAGCTGTACTGTTCTCTTTATGACAAGTGGATTTCTCATGGAGTGTCTCCTTCTGACTCTGGGCAGGCTGATGAAGCTGAGGAAGCTGTGTATCCCTTCACCTATCACAGCTTCTGCTTCTAAACCACCTTCACCTTTGAAAAATCTTCTTGGGCATGATAAACCCTTACAAGTTTGCTCACAGTTAACTAAGAACTCCCACCATAGCCATGACACCCAAAACAGTAACATTTCGATTTACCTTCCCCTGTTGCTGTAGTGGCCTCTGTTCCCTGTTCCTGCTGAGACACAGACATGTAGGCTCATGCAGCTCCCCTGAACGTGCTGCAGCCAGGACAGCCAGTGTGTCTGCAACCTAAAGGTGCTGCCTCCCAATGCATCCAAAACCCTGGGGAGCTGGGACTCCTACTTGAAATGCTCCTTTTATATTGTGCTTTTAGATGATGTTTAGCTGTTGTTTTTCCCCCCTCCAGGCTGAGACTCCAAGTTCCACAGCTCTACTCACTGCACTTTCCTGGGAAGAGAAGCTACCTGGGACACAGCTGTGCTACCTCTCTCCTCCTTCAGGCTCATGCTGGGGAGTGAGCAGCTGCAGTGCAGGTAGGAAGGTTCTGTCTCAAAATAAATGTGAGTTACTCAGCAGCCAGGTTACAACAGCCCCTCCCATGCCTGGCAGCTGGTGCAGCAGCACTAAATGTGACAGTGGCTGTTCCTCACTGCCTTGGGGCTGCAGGAAAGTTGCATCTTCTACTGAGCAGGTGAGCACAGGCCCAGGGCTGAGCAGAGTAACACCTCCTGCAGTGGTTCCTGGTGAGGCTGGCAAATAATCCCAGAGAAAGGAGGCTGGAAGGGACCTCGGGAGGTCTGTGTTCCAGCCTCTGCTGAGGGAGGAGGGTTTGCATGTCCCACCAAAAAACTCCTATTTTTTGTCTGCTATCCTTAAGAGGGGGCTGGCTGTGCCTCCCCTGTGCCGCCCACCTCTGTCGTGGGGCTGTGAGACCCAGCTGCTGCAACCAGCAAAGAAAATCTGCTACAGGCCAGACTAACAGAGGAACAGAACAACTGAGCCCAGGATCAGCAGAGCCTGGTCCCCAGGCACTGGAATCCCAAAGCTAGGGTTTTCCTCTCTTGAGTCAGTGGTGCAGGAAGTGGAGTCAGACACCAAGGTCTGTGCCCAGTGGAAAATCCTTGAACTCCACATGGGTCTAACTTCCCAGCAGCAGGAGGTGCTCAGCCCTACCTGAATGTTTGACCTTGAGCAATTAGTAACAGTTCACCTGCTGCAGACAGGGAAGGGCGAGTTGAGTATTAACCACCAAAAATCCCTTTGGTTTAGAGAGGTGAGCTGGTCAGACCCCCAAATTAAATATATAGTATGATTTATTGATGATTATTGGCAAAATCAAAATGAAAATAACTGTTTCTATTGCCAAGTGACCTCCATTAATCAGAGAGTTAATCAGAATTCATGTTCAGGATGTCTCCCAGCATGGACAGCCCCTGCTCACCCTCACAGTGGGATGTTGGCATGTTTCTTCCAAGGACTGGACTGGGATTTACTGGCCAGTACGTCGAGGTCATGGCAGATGCGTGTGCGGGTGGTTGAAGGCTGGATGATGTCATCCACAAACCCTGCAAAAGAGTAAAACAAAAAAAACCTTAACCTGACCAACCATGAAGTGTGTGCCTCCCAGCCTTCTATATCTAGGCTAACCCATAAGTTAGAAAAATCAAAACAATGGCTGGAATAAATAACTTCACAAGTCATAAATTACCTAAATTTAACATAGCCTGAGAAGAAAACATTCCTGAGTCAATTTTTAAATTTTAAGTATAACTTTCATTTTAGAGCACAGTTACTGCTCCAAAACTGGAAGTAAAAACAGTGGAAAAACTTACTCTGAGAGTTCTGGAGAACATAACTGAACTGGGCCCTACTCTTTCTTCAGGCCACTGCTTTGCATCTAGGGCTGTATACCAGACTGTCAAAGCACCTGTGCTATAAAGGAAAAGGCTGAATTTTGAGACATTTTCTACTACCTACACAATTGAAAATGCACTTTGCAGAGCAGTCCCCACTTTTCACCAGGCTCTTTGCAGCTGAAGGTGTCTTGTGTCCAGATGTTGTCCACATGTACAGGCTGTAGTTAAGCATCACCTTTCTAACTCAGATACAAGTATCTTACCTAAATAACTTGCTTGTTTACTCCAGGTTTTACTAAAGATTTACTCAATAGCACAACTTTATCCCCACGCATTGGCAAACCAAGTTGAACACAGTGTGGGAGACAACCATACCTCTCATGGCAGCAGGGAAGGGGTTTGCAAACTTATCCACGTACTCCTCCTCTGCATCTGTCTCCTTTCCTCTGAAGATGATCTGGACAGCACCCTGGGAACAAAAGGGCTCGGGTCAGTGATAGTCCCTCAGCCCTCTGCCCTGTTAACCCTTGCCCACCTCACAGCCATGCCCTCCAGCTGAGGGCTTGGGAGCATCCCCCACTGCCTGCAGCACCAGGACACCCCACAGTGCTGGCATGGCACTGGTGCTGCTGGCAGGGCACTGCTGCACCACAGTGAGAAGGGCCTGGACTCACCTTGGCTCCCATCACGGCCACCTCAGCTGTGGGCCAGGCGTAATTCACATCTCCTCGTAAGTGCTTGGAGCTCATCACATCATAGGCACCTCCGTAGGCCTGTGACACAAACCAGGGCACCCACTCCAGGAGTGGCCTTGCAGCAGCAACAGCCTACATTGCTCCTGCAGCATTTTCTATTCCAGAGACAAGCAGCTGGGGCTGGATTTTACCTGAAGGAGAGCATCTCCACTTTGTGGCAGCAATCTCCTAGGAGTAGACATACTTCAACTAGAGCCCCAAAAGAGCAAGGAAGAGGGCTGCTGGTGGTGAACAAGCCCATTCTGCAAGGCAGGGAGGGAAGGGGCTGTGTGTATCCAGACCATCAGGCCTCGACCTGCACCCTGCACATGCACACAAACCAACCAGACCGTGTCTTTCTGGAATTTCCTGGCCAGGGAATACAGCACTCAGGTTCTGCAGTGCTCCACTCTGGAACTGGAAATGCTCCAGACAGCAGTGATGAACAGATACTGCAGGGCTGCAGAGCAAACTGCAGTGCAGTCCCTGTCAGGACAGTACTGAATGGTGCAGCAAGGCTGCAGGATTGACAAGTACTGCATGGAATTACTAGGAACAATCAGAGAAGGCAAAAGAACAGAAAGGGTTTTTTTTATTTCTGCCATGATAAGCCGAAAGCATATCAGAAAAGCAAGCAGGAGGGGCAGAGCAGCCAGGAGAAGGCTAAGACTGTAAGGCACCAGCCTGAGCTTATGGCAGTAGGGTGTTGGTAGAGCATAGCAGAAGTCTGGGGAGGAAAAGAAGCCACATGAGTGTTCAGCCTGCAGGCACAGCAGAAAACAGATGCAGCCAGTGCAGGGTTTGCAGCGGGAGGCTCAGGGATCAAGACAGGAGAAAGCAGAATTGCTGCAAACAGATGGCATCTCTTTAGACAGGCTGGGTGACATGGGACAAGTACTTGAGTGAAGGCATTCCAGAGAGAAAGCAGGGAGCAGAAACTGGAAGTTTCAGAAGGGTGCTGAGACAAGAGGAAGGAAGGAAGTGAGGTAGTGGTCTGGGAATAGAAGAAGTGGCCTCTTGTAACGTTACGCAAAAAAGTGTTACCAAATGTGACAAACAGAGATGTGACACTGATAGAAAGCACCACTGGGACAGACAAAGTTTGGTTTAACTATAATTGCCACTAGTGGAAAGAGGAACTCCATGGAATTTACCAGCTTACCTTTCTGGTGATGATAGTGATCTTAGGCACAGTTGCCTCTGCAAAGGCAAACAACAGCTTGGCGCCATGACGTATAATCCCACCGTACTCCTGAGCCGTGCCTGCAAAGGACAAGGAATTACTTCACTCCAGGGAATTCACACAATCCCATTATCCATC